ACCGGTACAGTCATGGTGTAAAATTTCTAGAGTTGTCTGGACAGTACAGCAGAATCTTAGAGAGGTGGATCTAATAAAAATATTTACTTATACAAATATTTTCTTCGGATGTTTTCGATAATTATAGCATTAATTTCCTTTAATATGATCAATTATTTTAATACCATACCCTACATATTTCAGGTATCACACCACGGTTATCGACCAGTCAAGATGTTAATTGTTCCATGCATATAAAATTAATTTTTATTTCTTTTGAGAATTTTTTTTTTGGGGGGGGGGGGGGTCTTCCAGTCTATTTTTACAACTTTGATGCCTGTGCCTAGTAAATTTTATGTACTTTGTAAATAAATAAAGGTTTTTTTTTGTCAGTATCTATTCTTTTTCATGCAGGGCATAGGAGGCTACTTCCTGGGTTGCACTTGAGATGTTTATATATAACACATTGAAAACGGGTGAATCAGCCCATTCCACCCGTATATATCGTAAGACATATATTTATGGGAAAAACCCTGTGTTTTTCATTGACACCACTTGCGTGATCAATGAAATGGGTGAAATTGATAATATTGTGACGTACTTATACTTTCTAACATAAAATTAAGGATTACAAATTAATTCCAATATTTATTTTAATTTCCTTTTTTATTTTACTTTGTTTATTGTTTACTCATATATTTTCTATAATTATACTAGCATGTTTCATTTTAAATTCATCATTATTATTGAGCACGTAGGATATTGAAATCATGCCCCCAGCCCCCCCCCCCCCCACCCCCCCCCCAAAAAAAAAAAAATTAAAGACCTGGCTCATATTGTACTCTGAACATAAAGCTTTAAACTTAAATCTGTAAAAGTTTTGGATCCTTCCCTAATTACTGCTGACATCGTTTGTCTCGGTATCACTGTCATGGGTAATATAAAGATTAGCGTTAATTGCGCTTTGATTGAATTCAGTCTAAATCTAAATCGGAGAAAATCCACAGAATTTTTTGTTGTGGATGTTATTAATCAAGCGCAGGTTGAGCCAGTGGTAGTGTGTATGTACGGCACAGGTACAGTCGCAGATGTTGTATATCAGGCACAGGATACAGTCATAGATATACAAAATGTACGCTGTAGTAAATGTTACTTTTTAGAGATAATAGCGATTCATGCAATGGATTTAGGCATAGTCAAGTTTACATATATTTTCCGCGATATATTCACTAAGCCAGTTATCGTTACCGTTTTGGCGATTACAGCCTTCCATAAAGTAGATTTATTTAAAATCAGAAATATTAACACATTTCGTATTTTTTCATTAAAAAACAATCCATACTTAATCAACGACATATAGTTTAATACGTTGAACAATCCGGAAAATCTTGCTCTGACATTCCGTTTTTGATATTAGTGAGCAGGTACAGTCATGGATGTCCGGTGTACCAGTGAAAACTGTCGCTAGTGCTCAGAGTCGCTCTAAAAATAGAAATCCCAAGCGGTAGCCTTGCAATTCGTCACTCGTATAATTATACCCAAAGATAGTTATAACCACGTAATATAGATGTTATTGGTGTTTAAAATGAAACATTTTGAAGCAAAAAAAGTTATAACAATCTTGAACAATTCTGTATTATTCAATATTTACTTCAAAAATCCTGAAAATAAGTGTATGGTCATTTCTTAATTGACATCGCGATCGGCATGTGGGCTTCGTTTATCTTCATCTCTTACGTGACCATATGGTGAGAAGTTGGACAATTTGATTAATTCAATTAAATATTTAGACAGTTTATAACCTCTTATTGAAAAAAGGCAACAACAGAATTGTACAAGGAATTATATTTTGAATCGTCGAGATCGGCATCCAACTTTTATTAGGCAATAGGCAACCGCATACGAATCGGCATGTATTATGATTTAAAGTCGATTTATTGTAAGTAAGACAGTGTTTTAAAAGATAAAATAAGAATACTTATCTTTTTCTATTAGCGATAAATTAATTGTAAGCACGAATAAATTTAAATCTTGATCACACAAGTCTAATGCTAATTCGAAACAAAGTTGTGACGCGAATTTCCTCTATTGTGTTTATAATACTGAAAAGCACTGACCTTTTTTCATATAATTTAGGACTACTGGTGATTTTTTTCTAAATAGGTGCTTAAGTGTTTATTAAATTAAAATTCTCTGCAATTAATTATGAATTTAAAGCAGTTTTTCAACATATTTTGTGGATATAGAAAGATTCCCTTCGACTAATTTTCATTAATATATCCTAAATCAGTATCTACATGTATGATAACTGATGATGAATCATTAGATGACCACTTTGTACAAGGATAATAATAACTATCCAACAAAGTTCTGTATGTAAGTTGATAATAGGTGTTTCGACTGAATTAATTTTACATTTCTAAGTAGTCAACATGTCTATAGATTATTCTCTTACATGGATGTAGGCGAAAGCCTGTCCACTTCTCTAAAGAGAATAGTCTATAGATATTTGGCTTTGTTCAGTTATGATATAGGCATGGGAGACATTCAGTAAACTAAATAAGTAGATACAATGTCGGTGAATTATTGTTAGGGTGGGGATGGGGAGTTTAATCTTCTTTACAGTCTGACTCAATTAATAATCTTCAGTCTGGAGTTTATGCATGAACCTCAGAGTCCACACTGAATATATAAACTGAGGAAATATATAACCAGATAATATGTTGTAAAATCAGCTTGCACGTGCACTACAATGCTGGACAAGTCACCCCTAAGACAGCTCTCCTGTAGAACAATTCACATCAACAATCACCTTTTATTCAAAGAACTTGGCCACTGTTTGGACAATTTGCCACCTTCTCGAAGACAACTCGATCGCTTTGTAGCTATTTTATGCTACACTTAAAGCAAAATAGATTACATCATTATATTGTGATTCCTGGATGACCTCCTTTTCATTCTGAAGTTATATGTCAAGACTACATCTTATGAATAATGGATTTGATGAACATTTGATATCCAGACCAATATTGTTTATTTAAAACAGCTTAATTTAACAAAGCGACATTTTGATTGTAAAATTTCTGTTAGAAACATGGTGCTTAAGATGATATTTTATTACAACCAATGTCTTAAAAGTAGAAATCAAAGGCAGGAAAAAAAAAGTAAAAGAAAGGGCACAAAATGAATACAGATACAATAAATAAATCCTCCCTGAAAATGTAAAATGTTAATAATTAAATGATTCGATGTAGTCTCTCCTCCCATAAATTGTTAAATCTGATGCACTTAATCAAACTGATGATGGGAGTCATTATCCAGTAGTTTAACTGTAGTGTTATTCCTAATAATAATTAAATAATTTTTTTTTTCACTACAACATTTGTTTGTATTCTTAGTACCTGTATTTAAGATTACAGGGGTATATTGATTAAAATGAGATTATCTTTATGAGGTAGTAACATTTTTGAAAATTCTCTCCTCATATCAATCCATACTTAGATGAATGCAAGAGTATTTTATGTCAGATTGATATTTAAAGATAGAGAATTTTGTCCAATTAGGAATTGAACACCTTAATTAATTAAAGCTTCTTATGTCTTATTTGTCTCAGTTCACCCAGCTGAAAATGAGTACCGGTATACTGAGAGTTGAAGTAATAAACCTCTGATGATCTGGTGTCCCTTCCATGGGGAGTCTCTGACTCTATGATCCTCATCTGCTTAGCACAAAAGAAACTGGTTATGAATCACCAGCCCTATGTCAGCCCCTTACCTTGGAAAAATTTAAACTGTTGAAAACATCCAAAAGAATATTTTTGTTTTAATTTACTAGTAGAAATATTTGTGGAGGTCAGGTGGGTTCGATAGCTCAGTTGGTAAAGCTTCTGACTGGAGATTCAGGGAGCCCGGGTTTGAATCCCTGTCTGGTCTGTCAGATTTTTCTCCGTTCCTGTTACTTATTTAAGAAAAAAAAATATCAAGAAATAGCAGAGCCACAATTAGTCATATTGATTTGCAAACATCATCAGGTACCAGTAGTATGGATTCAACTCTGTTCAGATCATGCCCAGGATGGTAGGTGCATATGAAAGATCTCTTGGAGGAATATACAGGAAAATTCAGGATTTTTATGCCCCGCCATGAATATGGCCGGGGCATATAGTGTTTGTCATGTCCGTCTTCCGTCCTTCCGTCCTTCTGTCCTTCCATCTGTCCTTCCGTCACACTTTGCGTTTAGCTCTGTTCAAAGCTCAGTTTCAAAGAAACTATCCAAGATATTTTTATCAAACTTCATATGCTGATAGATATTGATGAGGGCTATGCAACTGCATCAACATTTTTTGACCTTGACCTTTCCTTTGACCTTGACCTCACTTTTCTTAAATTAGTGTTTAGCTCAGTTTTAAAGATACCATTCAAGATGGTGTAATCAAACTTCATATGTTGATACATACTGATGTAACCTTTTCAACTACATCAACATTTTTTGATCTTGACCTTTCCTTTGATCTTGACCTCACTTTTCTTAAATTAGTTTCTGAATCAAATGTCATATGCTGATACATACTGATGTAAGCTATTCAACTGCAGCAATATTTTTTGACCTTGACCTTTCCTTTGACCTTGACCTCACTTTTCTCAATTTGTGTTAAAATGTTGCATTACTAATATACCCTTGGCGGGGCATTCATGTCCTATGGACATATTTCTAGTTTTTTTTTAAATATTCTTATCATATTGGGTGCCAAATATAACAGGTGGTAAAAAATCAAGTTTCAAGAGGGACTCAACCCAGGGTCTTTGGCATACATGTACCGTGGCTTTAACCACTGAGCAAGTGAGACCCCATATATTGACCGACTTTCACACGTATCTTTTAAACCAAGACATCATTAACATCAGGACTATAAGTGATATTAAATAATATGCAAGCATCCTCAAGTAGTGCAGTTCGAATATATCTCCAGGGTAGAGTTGGAGTGGCAATATTCTTGAAGAATTAAAGCTTTATTTAGGAATATGTCGGAAAAATCTTCTCGAGAACTGAAAAGCAGGGCCATGATAAGTGGTAACAATATGAGAGCATTCTCAGACAATGCAGATACAATTTTTTTCAAATTATGGCCCATGGGGATTGTAGGGCTACAGTAAGGGATCATTCATCTAATGTGAAGATAGGGTATAAAGTAATGAGGTAAAGGATAATTTAAGATCTCTTTTATATGGACAAGTGTTTGCTAGGAAGATAACCTTAACCTTCCTAGCAAGTGTTTGTTAGGAAGATAACCTAAAATCTTGTTTGCAAGTATCCTTATATAATGCAGATTAAAGTTTGCTCAAATCATGACCCCCAGGGATAGACTGGGAGTGCAATTCTTTATGTCACCTGAGTCACTCGTCCATTGGTCAGTTGTAAATGTTTTGAACATTTTCAGCTCCTTCTTTTGAACCCCAAAACCTATTTCATCCAGATTTCAATGGGTGATAATTCAAAATAATTATTTTCCCTCATATTTTCATGTAGAATTATTAAACTACACTTAGATTATCTATTTCAAATGAAACCGGCATCAAATTCCACTTTCTACTGGTTTTACAGGCGATAAATATGTTAGTTCTGATAAATTCTGAAATCGCCATTTTGAAGAGCGACTCAAATCACTGATGCTCATAACTAATTCAAAATAATTATTTTCCCTCATATTTTCATGTAGAATTATTAAACTACACTTAGATTATCTATTTCAAATGAAACCGGCATCAAATTCCACTTTCTACTGGTTTTACAGGCGATAAATATGTTAGTTCTGATAAATTCTGAAATCGCCATTTTGAAGAGCGACTCAAATCACTGATGCTCATAACTAATTCAAAATAATTATTTTCCCTCATATTTTCATGTAGAATTATTAAACTACACTTAGATTATCTATTTCAAATGAAACCGGCATCAAATTCCACTTTCTACTGGTTTTACAGGCGATAAATATGTTAGTTCTGATAAATTCTGAAATCGCCATTTTGAAGAGCGACTCAAATCACTGACTGTCAAAGAATTTCATGCGACAGAGCGAGCTAAGCGCCGCTGCTGGATCCAAGATGGGAGACCCAGAGGTATGCAGTTCGACTCATACCGCGAATATAAGCGAGCTAAACGTGCTTTCAGAAATGCCCACGATAAAGAATACGACATCTTTCTCCAGTCAACATACCGTGAAATAGACGAAGCTGCAGATCTTGACCTGCGTCTATTTTGGAGACTAGTCAAGCAAAGACGCCCAAGATCTTCCAGGTATTTTCCTGAAATCCGTGAAGCTTCCGGAGAAATCCATTCAGAGCCAGATGGCATAGCAAATGCCTTTGCCGATTTCTATGAAAATATCTATAGAAACAGCGAGAACAAAAATTTTGACAATAAATTCAAAGATTTAGTAATCTCAGAATACATGCGCATTAAGGCAGAGTGCGGCAACTCCGATAACTCTATCTTCATTTCGCATGATGACGTCATTGCCGCCATATCCTCTCTCAAGCGTAGAAAAGCCCCAGGTGTCGACTACATTACCAACGAACATGTTCTTCATTCTGGCAACTCCATAGCCGATTGTCTCAGCAAACTGTACAACGCTGTCATAAGTGTCGGATGTGTCCCCTTACAGTGGAAACGCGGTTTAATTGCTCCCATATATAAAGGAGGTTCCAAACCTAAACACTCATGTAACAGCTACCGCCCGGTTGCTCTATTGCCTTGCCTCTTCAAAATATTCGAAAAAATCATATCTGTCAAAATATCTTCCTTGCAACTGTCTCAACCTTTCCCAAATATACAACAGCAAGGTTTTCAGAAAGGATTAGGATGTCTTACAGCCTCATTTAATCTTCATGAAACTCTGTATCACAACCTTGAAATGGGAAGTAATGTTTACATAAGTTTTTTAGATACAAGCAAAGCGTTTGATACTGTTTGGAGAAAAGGCTTGATGTTCAAATTACATAAATTAGGCATTTCAGGTCAAATCTGGAAAATCATCGACGACTGTCATTACAACACTGAAAGCGCTGTAATTGTTAATCAAACTATGTCTCGCTGGTTTCCCGTACAACAAGGTGTCAGGCAAGGGGGGGTTCTTTCGACTTTTCTCTATCTTGTTTTCATTAACGACTTGTTAAATGAGCTACAACCTCCGAACTCAAACCACAGTGTTATATTCGATAACAATTACCACTCTCCAGCGCTCGCAGATGACATTGCATGCATTGCACTCTCTCCCTCATCTCTGCAGTCGATGATGAATATTGCGCATCGATATGCCTGTCTATGGCGCTTTGAATACAACGCTTCTAAGTCGAGCATTCTGCAATTCCGCGCTAGAGGCCAAAGACATCCTGCAGAAAAAGACATTAACTTGGGAGACTCTAAAATACAATACGGAAAAGTATACGAACATCTAGGAATACCTATTAGCAGTAATACTAATTCAAGATCTCGAATCATTAATGCTTGCTCCAAGGGATGGAAATCATTCTACGCTTTAACTGATATGGATATATCTCTTGTAAACCCAAGGACGATGTCTCATCTCTACAGAACTGTAGTCATGCCATCTGTTCTTTATGGCTGCGAACTGTGGAACCATACGGTGAACCAAGATATAAGACGCCTTAACACCCTGCAACACGGCATATGCAAACAAGTTTTGAACCTTCCTAAACTTACCAGATCTGATATTTGTGAACAACTCATGGGTCTCCTTCCAATCACTGCAGAAATTGATACCAGGAAACTTCTTTTCTTTGGCAGACTTTGTAGACTAGATATCAACTGTCTTTCAAAAAAGATCTTTACTTCGCGCTTATTCTCCTTCCTCTATCAACTAAGTGAGGACCAAATGGGATTCATCCCGGATGTATTATTTCTTCTCCAGACGTACCAACTTTCCCATTACTTGAATATCTGGCTTTCTTCTGGATCGTTCCCATCAAAATTATCATGGAAATCTATAGTGCGTTCAACAGTTTACAAAAACCACACTCTTCAACGTACCGATAGAACTGACTTTGACCCAGACTTTCTCAGATTTAATGCGGTATTTTGTATAGCAAAGCCTATCAACATGTGGAAAATTGCAGATTCTTTCCGTGAAATTCAAAACTTTAAATTCATCTGTAAACTCATTGTATCAAAACCCGCTCAAAATCCGTTTGCATGCGTGTTATGTGGTCACCCTGTTACTGACGTTTTTTCCCATGCTACATTATCCTGCCCAGCCCTTTCGAATCAACAAAACATATGGTGGAACTCTCTATCTGAATCGTTTAACGTTCACCTTGAAGCTGAATTAAGCGGTCTTCCAGAAGACGAATTATTCAACATTCTTCTTGGAAGACCAACACAAACAGTCATGACTGCAAAAAAAGAAATCGAATTTAAAAAACTGAATTCCATACACATCGTCTCCTCCTGTGCACTCTACAACAGGCAATGCAAACGCGCATCCACCCCCTAGTGTATGATATGTGTATTATTCTCTGCATTCGCAGTTTTGCGTATTTTTGTTCTTTGATTTTTTTTTTTCTTTTCTTTTTTCATTACTTATAATATGTATTCTTTTTTCTCCTCACACTTTGATTGATTCATAATTTATTTGTGTTATATTTGTCATGTTAAAAAATCTCTGTAATAGAGGAAATAAATAATGAATGAATGAAAAAAACACACTTCACACCTTTGGTAAAAAATGACCACGGGGAGCTGTGTTTGTGAGTTATTAACATACAGGTAATTGTTGACACCTGTCTAAGATAACGCCCTGGGCATGGTTCACACCTGTTGAAACAAATGACTGAGAGATTGTTAACCGTAGCATGTTTTCCCCCCTTCTTTTTTTTTTAAAATATATATTCAATTTACAAAATTTTTAATTAAATTTGAAGTCGTTTATTTCCTTGTAGAAAATAAATAGATTTTAGAAATCTAAAACATCATTGAATAATCCTATACGAAGAAAATTCAATATTAAGTTTTAAATAACATATATAATTGTTTTGCATACTTTTAGGATTAAAATAAATAAATAAAACACTAAAAGCTAAGACTTCGGATACTATTACCGTGGATTTAAAACCAGTAGAGCACCGCTTTGATTTGAAGCGACTAAAATCCCCAGGCATGCGCAGAGGCCAGTGATTAGAGTCGCTCTTTTCCCTATATATTCTATTAAGAGCGACCCTGAGCACTAGCGACAGAAATCACGGTTACACCGGTACCAGCATTGCCGAGTACAGTTGCGGATGATAGCTGACAGCCACTGTTGTATATATCAGCTGTCTCCATCTGCAAGGATCATATTTAGCTGCGTCACTGTTACCTAATTTGTTGATAAAAGATTCGGAATTGGTACCTGTGAAGATATTGTACCTTTGGAATGTTGAAGACGCAGAAAACATGATCTTTGTCAGGAACAGGTACAGGGGTAGCGATTGTAGGCTTTTATATTCAAGTCGTGAAGTCTGAAAGAAAATTTATCTTCCTAGATCGTTTTTTTTAAAGGGGGGGGGGGTATGGGAAACATCGCCATGGAACTTTTTCTATATGGCAATCAGCGTACAGAAAAAAATGAAATGATTTGTGACATTTTAATGTCAAGGGAGTTTTATATCTCTACTTAAGATTAATTAAAAAGGCCGAGCTTGACCTACTTGAAAATCCGGTGGTAGTGCAATTAAGCAAATTTGGCGTAGGTCGGCGCTTATTGCTGCAGCTAAGTTAAAAATAAACTCCAGCATGCTGATAACAGAAGACAGCACACGTGTTACTTGGCTAAACAAGTAACCCACAGTGATAATCTTTACAGTGTATATATACAAAGCAGGATTTACAAGACATACTGCTGATTTATTGATTGACTATATAACTGATTATATATATATACAATTCTGATTAAAATAAAAATATTATAACTTGTTTCAATTACAATATTGATACTCTATGAACAAAATAATCTCAGCTCAATATTTTGTACCATAGGACTGGCGGTAAATTTAGATTTTGCTTTGATGTTGCTGTGGTGTATTTGCCAGAAGAATCACAGTTTTTTAAGTCACGCCCACCTTTTGGCATCAAGCCATACTGTGACAAGACCTTGACTGATGAATGAATGATATCAATTTCCAGACCTGGCTGATGAATGAATTAAGTCAACATTTTTAATTTAAAAAATACTAACATTAGCTTGTCGATGTTCGCTTCATAAATGTTTCTGTATATTTTCTCCGCGTATCCTTAATCAGTAAATGAAACGTCCTATCTCGAGTTCTCGTCATTCTCTTTCCCGTCCCCAAATACAAATAGCAATTTCACATCAGAAGTCCCCGGGTTTTTTTTTTTTTTACTTCCAATACCATTTCAAACTTTCATTAAAATGTCACAAATCATTTCATTTTTTTTCTGTACGCCGATTGCGATATAGAAAAAGTTCAAAGGCGATGTTTCCCATACCCACCCACCCCTTTTTTCAAAAGAAAAAAGAAAAAAAGATCTAGAAAGATAAATTTTCTTTCGGAGTTCACGGCTTGAATATAAAAACCTACAATCGCTACCCCTGTACCTGTATCTGACAAAAATCATGTTTTCTGAATCTTCAACATTCCAAAGGTACAATATCTTCACACGTACCTATTCCAAATTTTTTTATCAACAGATTGCAGTAGCAGTGACGCAGTGAAGTATGATCCTTGCAGATGGAGACAGCTTTTTATACAGACTCCGGACCGTGGCTTGACACCTCGTAGTAGGCGATGCTAATTATCAACTTTCTTTTCTCTCATTGGTCCTCTGGTACAAGTAACTTACACAATAGATATTAATTGGTTAGCGGTAAATACACTCACAGTTTTTATTCACTCGGGGCTCCGGCCCTCGTGAGTGAAAAACTGTGAGTGTATTTACCGCTAACCAATTAATATCTGTAGTGTAACTATAACATCACAGTTTATTTCAATAAAAGCTTTCCACATATTTACACCAGATATTATCTCTGTATTTAAATGTTAGTTTTTTTATACACTTTCTTCCCTTTCTGGCTTCGTGGCGCATTTGGGTTCCTGGAATGATACACTGAGGTGTGCTCCCTGTCAACGTTTTCATTCCAGTGGCACACAGCTAAGTTTGATCTCAGTTTATATTGGTTTTCTCCAAAAACTATTCTCTTGTCCTGGAATATGTTCATGACATTATTAAAACTCTCTACATAAAAAGTATCTTTACCCAAAACATAATCCTCAGGATATTTATAAATAACTGATCCGTTCAGTGCATTTTCTAAAAGTTTTTTGTCAATTTTACTTGTTAACACAACTCGGGAAGGCTCATAATTTTCATCTTTTCTGCATCTCGACTCTGGATGACACTTTTCATGCGAGTTTTCATAGTGAGGAATTATATGCTCTATAAATTCTTGTAGCTTTTTTGGATTTCCTTCACAATGCCTCACAGCCCAATGAATATGAGTGGCAATCGGTTCGGTCTTGTCCACTAGCTGCTCACTCCAGGTAAAACCCTCAGACTTCTTACTACCACTGGAGATATTTTTAAGTGATTTTTTCAGTGCTTTCACTGAGTGCCATAAATCATTCTGATTTGTTGTTTCTTCTGAATCTTTAATAAATTTGTTGATACTAAGATTTCTGTCATGAGAATGAATCTTGATGGTGACATCTTGCGAGGTGAAATTTTCATAAATAGCTTCTGTGCCAATTCTTTCATGTCGTTGAGAAACGGGATCTTGTTGTTTTGTGACATGGAAACAATCTAAATCTTTATGACATTTCTCACCTATGGCCACTACAGATGTATCTTTTACATTTTTTCGCCATCCATGTCTAGCATCCGTTAAAATAAACTCCCGATTTCTTCGTGTAGAGCATCTTGGACGGAATCTTGATATTCGGCCTCAACAGAATTTTTATATTCTTCAAAAAAATGTTTTCTCCTGGCCCAGTTGATGCATCCTAATCCACTTCCATTGGAAAATCTTGTGTAATGAGATGGTAGCATTCCACTACACATGAGACCATGACATATTCTGTGGTTGACCAGATATTCATCATTGGGCAGATATGGTGATGATGACCAGGAATAATTGTGTGTTTTATCCTTGGAGCATTGGAGGCGCAAAGAGATAACATGTCCTTTCATGGTTTTCTTAAAGAATTTCAATTTTCCATTACAGTTCTTGGTATGAGCTTCACAAAGTTCACATATATTTAGAAGTGATGACTCTGCACAAACAAACATTTTCTGATTTACATCCCTCTTCCTGACTTGAAGATATGTTGATGGAAATTGTGTTTGATCCAGCTCCACACTTTGGTCCTCTGAGTGTTTTTTTTAACCAAAAGTCCAAAAGTTCCTCGATTATTACAGCATTGTTTACAGGTGAATTGCGCTTAGAAGTGAGAAATGTTTTCACCTCTTGCAGTTTTCCTTGAATTTTAGTTTTAAATTACCCATCACCAGGACAGGAATGGCACAGACGTGACATTATGCCAACATACGTAGTGAATACTGTGAGAACATGGCTACCAAATCCAAAAGATGTACAATACATGGGTCACTTGTGGGAATAATTTTTATTTCATAGTTGACAGTCAATCGACATGATCAAATTGATATTTTCTTCTCTTTGTTTGTTTGTTTCTGTTTGTATAGGCTAGGTGTTTTGACTTGATATTTATTTTGTACAAATATTGTGAGGATTTTATAACTATTCCAATTTCAATACAGATGTCAAAAATCTGAATCATGGATTTTATCTTTTGGAGGTTGGATTTATCTAGAGATGAAAGTAAGTCAAACAATGCAGCATTCTGTTCTGCCCGCCATGCCAGCATGTGATGTAGACAACATCCGGTGTAAACAATAACAAACTAAATCACGCCCACTGCTGTCAGTTTTGTTTTTTAAATAGAAACAGAAGCCCTGCTTCAAATATTTCAATGAAAAATACAGCTAAGAAAAAATTTTACAGTAAATTTAATTTGTGACCAAGGATGCACATTAATGAGAAGAACAAGCATGACAAACATCTGATGATAAAGGGGAATCAGTATTTTAACATTTGTAAATAACTCTCTGCAATCTGAATGTGGCCAGAAAAATCAAATAAACCACCATTTATTTCATTGGCTGCTATTTATACTCCAATGTCCCCCTTTAATTAAGCAAGCCAAACAACTAACAGTGAAAAAAGCAGCAGGGTATAATAACTATGTATGATATCAGGAAAGAAACAGGTGAAATTAAAAAAAAATTGTTTTAGCTCACTTGAGCCAATCACGACTCACGTGATCTCTTTAGTTTCTCCCTATCCACCAGACCGGTTGTGATCAGCCAAGCTTATCAAAACACACTGTTCTTCAAATAAAGATCTGAGCCGATATGATTTTGTTTGTTTATTGTTTAACGTCCCTCTCGAGAATTTTTCACTCATATGGAGACGCCACCACTTGTCGGTGGTGGGCTGGAAATTTTGACCTATACTCGGCACTTAGTGAGCCGATATGAAGGGAAGGGAATGAAAAAATATATATAATCTAAAATAGGCATCTCCGAATTGTGTTAATCCCAGGACTGAAACAGAGCGATACAGGGAATCAATAATGTAGGAAATCTCCTTCTCAACACAAGCAAGGTCTTAATTAGTCAAATATTTTTTTTAAATATGCAGGCATCTATTTGTAGGATAGATGGAACATTGTGAAATCTTGGCTCACAAGGCTAGACAGAAGACCGTCGTGGTTATAGGAGTATGGTGAAATTAAAAAAAAAATTATTAAAACTTTACAAGGTGGGTTTTAGATTGCGTTTGTAAGAGTATCTGTTATTTATGTCCCTGGGTACAGATGTTATCGTCTTTATTTGTAGCAGAAAATTCCATACTATACAAAAATCACATATATCTTTTTCGACTGTCTTCAGTTGTACATACATTTGAAATGTTTAAAAGTATGTAGACCTGAAGACGGATTATTAAATCCAGAAAGCGCTTATGGGAAATGAAATTTGGAAACTGCATTTTCTTTTTCTTTTATGATTATTTTAGCTGAAGAGGAATTTAGGAATTTGATTTAAAAGAAGATGTCATGTTATATAAAAGAATAATTACCCGAAACGAGGATACACAAAGACTCTGGAAACCCAGGAATTGGGGCGGTGATTTATTATCTCTGTGTGTACGTTCTTCTCCCAGTGGGAGTAGATACCAGGGGAGGTAAGCACCTCGATAGCTTGGGGTGGCAAGAGGTGAACGTAATGTCTGATTCTCTTCGTAATAGAAAATAGACAGAAGGAAAAAATGAAGGAAAAGAAAATCACAGATGATGGTAAGGCTACTTCTGTCCGAGAATTTGTGCTAAATTATTTTTAAAGACGTTATCCTTTACTATTTATCATTGTTTGTACACTATACAATTTTGATGTTTAGACCTGACTAAATTTAATTAACTGGAAATAAACATAATTTTGATTTTTTTTTTCTTGCGACTTCCTCTCAATATTGTTTCAATATTATTGCCTACAATTTCGTTTATGCTATAAATGTTGATTAATTTTCCTAAAGTTCACCCTGTCACGAAACACTGACATCCAAAACAGCGACTGCATTTATTCTTAAAAAAAAACAACAACAAAAAACAAAGCATTTGTAATGATTTTAAATGTAAGTGAAGATAATTGTCATCTTTCTTTACAATTGTCATATAGTAGGAATAATTTAAAGTGGTTGATATCGATGTTCTCATACATTGTTTCATTAGAGGACACTGCATTATTACTGCTTAGCATTAAAATGGTGCTCTTCTAAATTTCTTTATGATACAATAGTATTATAGTATACCTGCGTCATCTTATACATGTACCAGATATAGTGGATTTCATATCAGTAATTTCTTCTATAGTCCATATTAAAAAAAGAGCAGGTTGATCAGTAGTTATAAAACCCAAGGTAGAAAAGCGAAGTACTTCAACTGGGAACTGTGCTACCGTATTCTTTATGAGACACAGTGTCCCCCCTCCCCCCCCCCCCCCCGAAAAAAAAAACAAACTGTAAATCGAAAATAAAAATATAATCTTTACATGGCCCATATAAGTTTGCTCTTTTTTTAAAGGATGACGTTCAGAAAATTTACTTTCATGGAGAGGGAAAAATATTGTCTGGTTCAGTACGAAAATATTGCCTCACTCCTTCCTCCTTATTATACGCATGCGCAGAAAAATCCGGCTAAGAAGACAAAGGATTTTGATACAACCTTTCGAAAAAGAAAATAAAGCATATTCTTGACCTTTGCATGCTCAAATTGTTGTTTATGCAATTACAACGATGCAGTAGATTTCCCGGCATTTATATTTTGCACTCTTTGCTTGCTTCAAAGTGCAGTTCAGTGACTTTGTCAAAACTTCGCTACACTCACTTTTTAAAAAATAAATCCTTCCTTTATATTATTATACAAATTTCATAAAAGAAACGTATGGTTTTGACTCTGTCTTCTTACGTAAACGCAATATAATGGTATATTTAAAATAATGAAACCCTCTTAGGTGATGACGATGTACCATGTTTTTTCTCTCAACGCTGGAAGACAGCCTACATCGGCTTCTTGGGATTTATCTGCGTCTACGCCGTGCGAGTGAATCTCAGTGTAGCTATCGTCTGTATGGTAAAATCCCAGAATTCCATCAACAGCACACGTGATAACGCCAGCATCAGCGACCTAAGTCCCTGTACCACTGACGACGAAAGCAGTTCCGTATACGAGGTACATGTACTGTACAACTTAAAAACTTAATATATTGAAAACAAGATCCCGTTTGTGCTAATCAAATTATATCTTTAAAAAAGGGGGAGGGGTAAAAAAAAATTAGAACTTAAAAAAAAACGTCTTGTTGTAAAGCCATAAATCAATTTTCTTTCTTACACAAAAGTTCCGTGTTATGCGATCATTTACCATTGTTGACAACCAAGGTTCCAACATATAATGTGATTTAATATTGCAATAGACCAGAGAAATAGATTGTTAAATATCATGCTATGTCTCTGTATTGATGGACAGACTCATACTAGAACAAGCATCTGTTTCCCATATGGATATGTCAGTCATTCTACAAAAACATGACCAATTGAGAATTTTTTTTTTGTCGCTTACAAATTTACCGTTGTAATATTTTAACTATAAATTTAAAGGTCGATTTCAACTCTAAGACTTAACATACACACATGGTTTTGTAAATATCCACCGATATATATGCAGTTAAAGTTTTGATATGAACATAATGTAATGTTGAAAAACGTATTCCACTGAAAATCTTAATGTCGCTTCATTTATTTATAAATTTCAAGGTGAAATTTTCAGCCGTAAAATCGTTCCGAATAGATTGCAATGAATGTTAAAAAATGTCTTTTATCCTATATAAAAAGAAATCAAACCATTTCTCGCAAAGAAATGCATAGATCTCCTTTCATGCGTATTCATAAGCATGTCGCTAAAAATCGATTAACTTCCGTAACGATTTTATTTTAAATTTCACGCATAGAATGCAGATTTCAAAAAGAACTGAAACTTATCTGAAAGTGACCACGGAACCTTATATTATCGATTCTAGTTGCGAGTCAGCTATTTTTGACGATTACATTTTCGACATACATGTAACAAAATGAATTAAACAAAAACATTTGTCTCTCTTAAAAATTTAACTTCCGAAACGGTAATTCATGTTTTTGCATTAAAGGTATAAAAATTTTTATTATTTTGGGAGCGAAATGCTTTATACTTTTGTTTAATATCCTAAAATAAACTTTGATTTTAACTATTGAAGAGAATTTTAACTTTTATTGCTGGGAATTAACTTCCGTAACGATTAACTTCCGTAACGATATTTTTCCCGAAAATTTAATTTAGATTCGGATTCATGCCAGACTTCATAAATCATACTTTAGCGTTCTTTACTGAACATCAGAAACGAAAATTTGGTCAAATTCAGCTTTTTTTAAAAAATAATAAGGCTTGATCAAGCATTAACTTCCGTGACATTACATTAAAATCAATGGTATCTTGAAATTGTTGTAAAAAGTTAACGATACCAGATTTGTGGACAATTCTTTGTTTTCAAGTTCACTGATATGTTCTTTAGAGAATTATGATGTTCATTTTGCTATTTGAAACAATTATTTTTTTCATGTTTTTTACTCTGAATTGGTCCATTTATCGTAGAATGACTGATGTATTCAACTATGCATAAATCAAGCAAAACAGTAAAAAAAAACAACAACAACATTCACTCAGGGCTTCGATGATATTGGACCAGAAGGGAAATTTAGTTGAGCACAAAAAGTGACCTTGAGAGCATTGTTGACACCAGTTCCAAAGTTTGAAGCAATCTTGAACATTATATTTGATTCCGATTATTTTAAGTTGGGTTTTATTTGAAAAAGTCCTGAGGTAGTTTTTTTTCTTAAGAGTCGAATAATATTACCACCAATGCTTTAAAGATTTTAAATACCCCTTCTTATAATATGTAGACGGTGCGACCGTTGGGGCGAGCGCATCGTTCACTTCATATTAAGATCCGCCTCTTCAACCGCACGAGACATTTGGAACGTCTAGACTGTGACGTCACATGACGTCGTATGTTAGTTGCATTTCCATTAACAAAGTTTAAAAAGTGCGAAGATTTTAACAAAGAACGTTTAATCTACTATCTGTATGCAATATCCATTAAATTAAGGTGAGTTTATTTTTTGTGAATTTTTCGTTGTTGTTACCGAGCGAACGAAGTTAGCAGCGAGAACAAGAAGCGATGCATTGTGGGTCCAGAATTACTGCGGAAAAAAATTCTATTGAATGAATGTGCAATAGTCCGAATTTTCTCTTCGCCCAGGCGTTGTCGTTAGAGCTCGCAGTGACGAGCGGCGCTCGCTAATATGTTGACGGTGCGACCGTTAGGGCGAGCGCAGATATTTATTCAGGTTTAATTTAGATCGGGCTCGTTCGTCAAACTGCACGTGACATTTGGTGCGTCTAGACTCTGACGTCACATGACGTCGTATTTAAGTTGCATTACCAAACCGAAGCCTGAACATTGTTGACTTTAATGAAGAACGTTTTATTTACTATTTATCTGCAATATATCCATTAAATCAAGGCGAGTTTATTTTTTGTTAGTTAAACTGTTGTTGTTATTCTCGCGAGAACGTAGTTTAAACAAGCGATGCATTGTGGGTCCAGAATTACTGCGGAAAAAAATTCTATTGAATGAATGTGCAGTAGTCCGAATTTTCTCTTCACCCAGGCGTTGTCGTTAGAGCTCGCAGTGACGAGCGGCGCTTTGCGCCGCTCGCTGCGCTCGCTATAACAGCATACATGTACATATGTATATAAACTTCCAGCACGCCGAATTTGATTGGTCCAAAACCACCCAGTCTACTATTCTTGCGTCATTCTTCTACGGTTACATCGTCACCCAAATCCCTGGAGGATGGCTGGCTGACAGGTTTGGAGGAAGACGGGTACTTGGCATTGGGATGTTCATTGCCTCCATTTGCACACTGATATTTCCGGTATGCGCGCGCAGTTCAATAATCTTGGTGTATGTACTTCGGGTTCTTCTTGGCCTTTCAACGGTAAGAGCAATGTTTTGTAAAATATGTTTATTGATCAATATTTACTGTACATATCCTCTTTTTGGTGATATGTTCAAATTTCTTAGGCGGTGTCATTTCCCGCGGTTCAGTCGTTATGGGGACGCTGGGCACCGCCATTAGAAAGAAGTAAACTGATCTCCTTCACTTACCTAGGTAACTTAACTTATCTGAAATATATCTGATCAATTAGGAATCATAATTCGTGGCACCTGTCATTGCACATTAGCTCTATAGCTTTATACATGACTTTTAGGTACTATGTTTGGTATGGTGTTGACTTTGTCTACATCGGGACTTTTATGCCAGTACGGATTTGACAACGGATGGGGTTCAATCTTCTACATCACAGGTTATTCACTTTATAGACAGAATGATAACTGGCTAATTATCGATTCATTCAACTGACCAGTACTAAGTAAGAAAAAATGAATATACAAACACAACATCTTTATCATTACTTATATGAATAGAAAGTATATCTTCTAACTTACCTGAAAACAATTTTAGGACTCTCTAACGACAGACTATTTAGAGAGTATTTTCCCGCCTGTAGAATTGTAACTGTTCTATAGGTGGTATATACGTCCGTAGTCTAACTGTATAAACTGACTATGATTGTGGTAATCTCATTAGATAATGTAAAATCAATCACAACTTATGTAAGCTCATTTTTCCCTAGATGTCTTAAATGAAAAGTATTTATCTCGATGTGGTCTAAAAACGACATTTTCTCTTACTATCTGTTCTAAAATTTCTTTGTGGACTGAAAGCGACTTTTTACCTCCATGTGCTTGTCCTAACGACTTTTTCATTTCTATTTGGTGTAAAATTTCTTTGTGATCTTTTAAAAAATTCTAAAAATTTTATGGCTTAAAACGATTTTTTATATCCTTGTGGTCTTAAGTGACTCTATATCTCTATATGGTCAAAAATTGACTTTTGATGTCTATGTGGTTCAAAAACAGCCTTTTATTTCTATGTTGTGTAAAACGACTTTTCATCTCTATATTATGTAAAAAAAAAATTGTGGTCTTAAAAAGACTCTTTAAAAAAATTCTATATGGTCTAAAAAGACTTTTTTGTTCAAAATCTATTTTATTCTAAGCGACATTTTTATTTCTTTGTGGACAAAAATTATTTATCTGTAGGTGGGCTAACTATGATTTTATTTGTCGTTAGCTGTGCTGACTCAGATTTTATTCATTTGTAGGTGGGCTGACTCAGATTTTATTCATTTATAGGTGGGCTAACTATGATTTTATTTATCTGTAGGTGGGCTGACTATGATTTTATTCATATGTAGGTGGGCTAACTATGATTTTATTTGTCGTTAGATGTGCTGACTCAGATTTTTTTCATTTGTAGGTGGGCCGACTCAGATTTAATTTATTTGTAGGTGGGCTAACTATGATTTTATTTATCTGTAGGTGGGCTGACTATGATTTTATTCATCTGTAGGTGGGCTGACTATGATTTTATTTGTCGTTAGATGGACTATGATTTTATTTGTCGATAGGGGGCTGACTAATAGATGATTTTATTTGTCGTTAGGTGGGCTGACTATGATTTTCTTCATTTGTAGGTGGGCTGATTTTATCTGTCGTTAGGTGGGCTGACTATGATTTATTTATCTTTAGGTGGACTAACTTTGTTGTGGGTCTTTGCATGGTTCTACGTCACAGCAGATACACCAGATCAACACCCACGCATTTCTAATGCAGAAAGAAAGTATATAACCTCATCCATTGAGTATAATACAACCATACGGGTAACTTTCATTTCACTCTGAATCTATATGGAACAAGATGTGTTTGTGAAACACTGATGCCCCCGTATGGCAACTTAAAGCAAAGGTTAAACTTTCTCGATTGCAAATAAAATAGGTTAGTACCCAAAGTAAGGTCTTGTCTCGAGGAATATAACTGTGAAATATGAAAGCAGCCATTGAATAGATATGGAAAAGGTTAAAGTTTTTCAAACGTAAGTCAAACATCAAGGTCAAGGTCAAATGGTCAAAATTAATGGTGCCAAAGGAGAGGCCTTCTCACAAGACATATACATGTGAAATTTGAAAGCCGTAGCACCAATCGCTCAAAAGTTATGGCCAAGGTTAAAGTTTTTCAAAAGTAGATCAAACTCCAAGGTCAATGTCAATGGATTACGATTGTTAGTATCCAAAGGAAGGTCTTGTCACAAGAAATAGGAATCTTAAATGTCAAGGTCAAAGGGTCAAAGTCGTTGGTATTCAAAGGAAGGTCTTGTCACAAGAATTACATATGTGAAGTATGAAAGCCCTAGCACAAACCATTCAAAAGTTATGACCAAGGTTAAAGTTTTCAAAAGAAGGTCAAACTCCTAGGTAAAGGTCTAAGGATGAAATTTGTTGGTATCCAAAGGAAGGTCTTGTCACAAGAATTACACATGTGAAGTATGAAAGCCCTGGCACCAATTGTTCAAAAGTTATGGCCAAGATTAAAGTTTGGTAAAATTTTGCAAAACTGCAAGGTCGGGGTTTAAAGGTCAAATTTGATGGTACCCAAAGAAAGGTCTTGTCACAAGGAATACACATGTGAAATATGAAAGCCATAGTTCCAACCAATCAAAAGTTATTGGCAATGTTTAAGTTTTTGCGGACAAACAGACAGATAGACAGACGGACAGACAGGGCAAAAACTATATACCCCGAATCTTCGACACGAGGGCATAAAAATATTTTTTTTTCTATACACTAGTAAACACTAATTGTATGTATGTATGTTTGTTTTGTTTTTTAACACCCCTCTCGAGAATTTTTCACTCATGTAGACGCCACCACTGCCGATGGAGGGCTGCAAATTTATACCTATACTCAGCACTCAGGGCCATTGAGCAGTGAGGGATCTTTTTCGTGCCAACACCTACTGCGACACGAGACCTCGTTTATACGGTCTCATCCGAAGGACCGGTCTCCACTACACTAAATGTAGATAATATACGACAAGGAAACTATACAATTTCAGACCAGACACGTACATTTGAATCTCCATTTGTCAGATAAGATTGATTGATTGATTGTATGTTGTTTTACGTCCCGTTCGAGAATTTTTCACTCATATAGATACCGGTGAAGAACTTCAAATTTAGACCTTTACTCGGCACTCAGGGCCATTGAGCAGTGAGGATTCTTTATCGTGCCAACGCCTACCGTGACACGGGGCCTCGGTTTTTAAGTCCTCATTCGAAAGACTGGCAACTTTCACTTCAAAGCGCCGAGCGCTTGGGGAAGGAACAGTTGCTACCTATTATTTATCGACTTAGGTTAGTCCCAGCCGTGATTTGAACACACGACCTTCCGATTACGGAGGAAGCGCTCTAACTGAGCTACTGTGACGGCTTGACAGATAAGAAAGCAGTTGAAATTAAAATATTTCTTTTCAAAACCAGACACCGAAAACACCTTGGAAGTTGATAGCAATGTCATCTGCAGTGTGGGCGTGTCTGACGGCACATGTATGTAATAACTGGACAAATTACACCCTGTTGACCAGTCTTCCTACCTTCATGAAAGAAGTCCTCAAGTTTGATATAAAAAGCGTGAGTCAAATTGTTATATTTTACAATATACTTGAATATACCGTGCTTTCAAGCATTTGTCAATCATTATCACGTGAATCGCCAAAAACAAACAATTCAGTTCAAATTCAAGCTTGAATAATTGACATCTTACACAAAGTTCTTGTATACTTGACATTAATGAATGAATTGTCAGTCATTGCAAATTATGGCGAATCGCTTTCTTCGACATTATTTTTACAGAATGGAGCGCTTTCAGCGTTACCTTACATCTGCCAGGCAGTGTCGGGATTTCTTGCGGGTCAAACAGCGGACATCATACGATCCAAACGCATCCTCAACACCACTCATACCAGGAAATTCTATCAGATTTCGGGTATTGAGAGATTTAGTTACAATAACAACGTTTTTCTTATCCTTTATCTCCATCAATTTGGATCGTTACAATGGTAGTTTACGAAATAAGTGCCACCATGTAATGGAAGCACATGCTGATGTATCATGCTGATGCACCATTCAAAAATTAAAATTCAGAATTATTTAATATCATATTGTAGAGAGTCTATCAGTTTTGACTGCCTTCGATACTTTTTCAAGGATAAAAATTCCATTTTGGTTTATACCATATTATAGAGAGGGTGTCAGTTTGGAACCAAGATTCAGTTAAGACTACATTATAGTTCTAAGTCAAATATTGCAAAATTGATTTAAGTTATATTAAAAAGAGACTAGAGACCGTAGAGAATTTATTGCAGCGTTTATTGGTGCCGGCGCCATGTCAGTGGCAGTAGGATACACAGATTGTGACCAGCGAGGCGTAGCGGTGGCACTGCTGTCTCTTGCCGTGATGTTCACTGGCCTGTGTCGGGCGGGATTTAGTGTTAACCATGTGGACATTGCTCCAAAGTAAAAAAATAAAATAAAATAAAATAAACTTTCATTTGAACAAATGATTGAAAATTATCACAAAAATTTAATGTTAACCAACGCCTTTCTGAGATGATACTATACGTGTACATGTATTCAATTTTGTATATATATGTTCTAACACCAATTAGGTACGCCGGTGTGCTCTATGGAATCACTAACACCATGGCAACCGTTCCTGGGATGTTAGCACCAATTGTTGCCGGGGAACTTACTCCTAATGTAAGAAATATAATTATATTAGCAAATTCACCAGGTCATTTTTGATTTTCGAATCCTTATTGATGTTGGGTAGAAGTTGAATCGAAGATTGTATAAATATTTATATGTACTTGTTTCCCCTGCAATATCCTGAGTAGATTGGTAAAATACCATATTTGACCCAATTGCAGAAATCACAGTCAGAATGGCGATACGTTTTCTTTGTGTGCGCTGGGTTTGACGTGTTTGGCGCCATTATTTATGGTCTGTTTGGCAGTGGAACGATTCAGGATTGGGCTCGCGATGAAGTAGAGATAGAAGTAACTATAGGTAACGAAAAAAGTCCCGGGAAAAACCACGCTCAACCCAAAAATCAAATAACAAACGACGATAATTCAAAAGAAGAAAGCAAGGAAGAAGACTTAAGAGGGAAAGATGAAGGTGCTATATATAATGTTGTTGTTAAGCGCCATGAAGACCCGGATCTTGAACACTCTGGTGGATACAATGAAGACGCCAATGACAATGCAAGGACAATACAGTTTTGAATAAATGTACAGACTATAATTTGTACATTACTTTGAAAATAGTACAGTAGTTAATCTGTTTATGTCAAAATATTAAAAATGAACCAACATTTAACTGATCATGACATACATGTAGTTAAAGGAGTAAAATTGCGTAGAAACTTAAAGTTAAGAGGCCAGTTTGCAGGGTACGTATATCAAATCTGTTGAGATTTTCATTGAACAATCACCGATTAGAAACCAGTATGGATGGTGTTTTTTTATCCCATTGTCGGTTGTGATTACAGAAAAACAAAATTGGAAACAGTCGATTATTAAATTTTGAAAAAATATTTGCTCTTATCAGGAACTCAAATGTTCTTCTCATTCTGCTTTTTAACTATTTTATTGAATATTATTAAACAAGTTCAGACTTTGAATAATGACTCGACTCGTCTGAGGGACTGTATAAGTTTCACTTTTGTATCAGTTATTTAGATCCGATTTTGAGACACAAACATGGATCACTCCATCAATGTGAAATCTGTTGTAAATTTTCAAAGCGATTAAACAAGATAAGCTTTATTTTTGTTTCAGAAGTAAATAAGAATACATACAAATATATACATATATCCACTGAATACATACAAGTTACTTCCCTTGTATTCCCTAAATACATATAGATGTGGTAACAAGTTACCGGTAATACCATTTATCAACTGAAAACTTACAGATGTGGTAACAGGTTACCTCTCTGTGTCCATTGAATACATATAGATGTGGTAACAGGTTACGTCTCTGTGTCCATTGAATACATACAGATGTGGTAACAGGTTACCTCTCTGTGTCCATTAAATACATACAGATGTGGTAACAGGTTCCCTCTTTGCATCCATTGAATACATACAGTAAGTAGTTGTAGTAACAGGTCACGTCTCTTTGTCCATTGAATACACACAGATGTGGTAACAGGTTACGTCTCTTTGTCCATTGAATACACACAGATGTGGTAACAGGTTCCCTCTTTGCATCAATTGAATACATACAGTAAGTAGTTGTGGTAACAGGTCACGTCTCTTTGTCCATTGAATACACACAGATGTGGTAACAGGTTACCTCTCTGTGTCCAATGAGGGTACATACGGATGTGTAAAAGGTAACAGGTTACCTCTCTGCATCCACTGAATACATACGATATGTAACAGGTTACCCCTCTGCATCCACTGAATACATACAGATGTGGCAACAGGTTACCTCTCTGCATCCACTAAATACATACAAATGTATGTAGCAACAGGTTATCTCTCTGCTTCCACTGAATATATACACGCAGATGTGGCAACAGGTTATCTCTCTGCTTCTACTGAATACATGCAGATGTGACAACAGGTTATCTCTCTGCTTCCACTGAATACATACAGATGTGGCAACAGGTTATCTCTCTGCTTCCACTGAATACATGCAGATGTGACAACAGGTTACCTATCTGCATACATTGAATACATACAAATTTGGCAACAGGTTACCTCTGCATCCATTGAATACATACAGATATGTAACAGGTTACTTCTCTTTGTCTATTGAATACATACAGGTTACCTCTCTGTGTCCATTGAATACATATAGATGTGGTAACAGGTTACGTCTCTGTGTCCATTAAATACATACAGATGTGGTAGCAGGTTACGTCTCTGTGTCCATTAAATACATACAGATGTGTAACAGGTTACCTCTCTGCATCCACTGAATACATACGATGTGGTAGCAGGTTCCCTCTCTGCATCTTCTGAATACCTGCAGATGTGGCAACAGGTTACCTATCTCTCTATTAACTTAAATCACACAAATTACATGTATTGGTTGCCTGTGCTGTGATTAGATGAGTCGCGGATTTAGGAGTTGATCCTTAAGTCGCGGAATCGAATCTCACTGCGGGAAAAGAAGATATGTCCTTAAAATGAAACAAGTCTTGTGTTGAAGCTAATGGTAGCACGAAAGATTTCTCTCATTGTTTAATGGCCTTACGATTTGCAGGCCTCCATCGGCAATAAGTGGTTTGCCAAATTGAGGGATTTTTTTTTTGTTGGAAGGGACGTAAAAACGAACAAACATACAGATGTGGTATCAGGTTGCTTCCCTAACACCGAAGGATGATCGAAGCTTAGGGTCATGTGGTTTAAGTTTGGAGACATATCTGCAATTTGACTTAAGAAATAATTGTTGTTAATTTCAGTTATCATAAGTTTTTGATGGTGAGGAGCAACTAGACACTAGGCCGATATTCTGGAAAATGTATTTTCTATTTTAAAGACATTTTCGATAGTTCGATAAATTGCATATAGTTATATTAATTAAGTATATTTATTAATATAAATGAAAGGCGTATATTAGCAAGCTAACATAAACAGTGGAAGAAATCGTCAATTTAGAGTCATGAAAGGGAAACACATGCCCAATTACAGACGTGGCAACAATGCCATAACTGAAAGATAAAATGAAATTTCTAAATGGAATAAAAGTTATCAGCTGTTCATCGCCGTCTAGACCTTAAAAACGGTCAGTTAAGAACAAAAATAGATTATAAAAATTATAACTTTTGTTGTTGTTGTTGCACAGTAATGAATAGTTTCGAAGCACTATTCCTTTGACACTGAGAAATGTACACGAGTAAACTATAGAGCAAAGAACGATTCTTTGTTTAACTTAATAATAAATGTCTGCATGAGATTTGGCATGGTTTTTTTCTCTCCAGTATACATTTGTGTAGGGATCCGTGCACAGATAGATCTAGGTGAATAAATTAATTCTCACGTGCACAGATAGACCTAGATAAGTACATTAATTCGAATAAAATGACAAAGAAGTATATATATTTCATTATCTTTTTATATGAAATTTTGAAGGCGTCGGATCTATAAAAATGTTTTAGACCAATACGCTTTTTTTAAATTAAAGCTTTTCCTTATCGGACGTCAGCACTCATGCAACTAACAGAATATCGGCCCGATTGGGAATAAATTTATTTTTAAATAGCTGGTATCCCAAGTGTAGTTCCGTAAAGACTGTGTTTATTGACATTGAACCTATAAATAGGTCATGAGGTACCACCGTCATGTGACGACTTTCTCTTTCAGCTGTACAGTCCATTACATGTAACACACGATGGGATGCTGTTTTTCTGGTGAGGTATGTACAGTGCCAAGCATGCAAAAGCACTCTCACGTTAATTGGATATTGTCGATTTCCTTCAAATTTAAAGATAAGCTGTCTTAAACTGTTAATGTTAAATAATCAGTCAGGCAACGTAGTTCATAGCAAGGGGGATATTTTTATTGCTATCTTAGTAAAAGTTTTTGTAATTCTAAAGTAATTACAAATTGATCAATATTAGCAGGGTGTTACTCCCAGAATTGGATACAAAGTTCATTTTGAAAGTTAACAGTATCTTAGGGAGCCATATAATCGGCCTAAAATATTCACATATAGAATATTAATGAAATTGAAGATTCATGACTAGTATTAAATTCCTTTGAAATGCTCTCGAGCTTGTTGAAAGTAGTAGTACTGGTGCGACGGCTTTAAGAGTTAATGATGCTCCCGAGGATCGAGTAGCACGTTTTCGTCCATTCTCTCCTTCTATCTACCTGCCTACCAGAATTTTAAGAGCTATTCTTAAAATGGGTACATTTGAAATATATTTTAAATGCCGAAAAAGCTCAATATTCACTAATTAATAATTATAGCTGTTCATTATCAAAATCAACAACACAGGGAAAACCATGAAAATATTTGACCCCAAGTACATGTAATAATATATTGGCAATATTATTCTGAAAAAAGCTTTCATGGTTGCCATGGTGACACAGTGTAGTCACACAAAATTTGTTGCTAAGTTTGTTGAATACTTGTTGAATTAGGAAAACATGAAAATTAAAGATTCGCAAATATACATCGTTAGGACCTTGTAACACAGATGGCACAAAAATGAGATTAATTGCTACATTGTAGAGTAACCATGGAAACGTACCAATGGATTTAAGAGAAAAAAAATTCTGCTTTGGGAATTTTGTTACCTTTTACTCAAAATAAAGTATTTGACTCACCTTGAATTGTACTTATCTAACAGAGCTTAAGTTTAATATCATTTATTGATAAAGTTTGATGAAGGAAATAACAAAGTTGCTATGGTTACCAAGAAGAGAATACGTTAAATTTTGTTAACTCTATACCAACACAAAACCTTATATATAGCTTCTTGCATCCGGTTTGAGATTTGTGCATAGTAGTCAAAATTGAAAAACAGGTTAGTTGTTCCTAAATGTCAATCATAAAAGTTAGGGAAATCTAAATACAAGGGTACATATCAAAGTAAATAAATTTTTTTTTTTTAGCTTTTTGTGCATATTTTTCCTATTATTTCCATGGCAATGCTCTATTTTAAGAATTAAAATTGAATTTTTTGAAATGTGGAAAGGACCACATCATTGCTTTTAAAAATTGATCACCAGTTTAATGTATAGAAAACTGTTCTTTAAAAAAATAGAATCAGATTAAAACATACAGAGAGTAAATTTAAACACCTATGCAGAAATAAAACCATAGAAACCATTGCCTACCTATAAGAAATATCAGATTTCCTCCTTGGAATATGTTAAAGGATCTTCCTCTATTACTTGGTTGTATTTCAAACTATAATTGTCTTATTTTTTAGTGTATGACTTTATAAAAATGAATGAATAAAAATATTGATGATAAAATAATAATAATAATTTTGAATATTTTGTCTCCATAGTAACATATGTAATAGTTGATTTCACAAACATGTTTATCATGCTTTTATAACATCAAGCCTTCAGCTTTTGGAAACAATCATTATCACTTGTCTGCATCGCTACAAACGTTAAACCTGGGACCCTGAATATGTTTCAAAATGCCATGGTAACCATGACCCATGGCAACCAATTTTTGCCTGATTTGAATTTACGGTATCAAAGACTTTTATACGGAAGCCCGGTGGGACATTGACTTACTTCTTAGGTGTTTGACTTGGTTCTTATGACTTAATTGTTGATTTTTGTTATTTTAAATTTGTTATCATACATTTACTTAACCCCAAAATGTGGCGTGAAAAATGGAGGCTACGTGTAGTTTCAGAAAAGAAGAAAGTAATATAATGCCTTTGAATTTATTAACTTGTAACGACAAGATAAAATAGTAGTTATGTTCATGTGCTCAATTATTATGCAAACTGAAAGTTACAAATAAGAATAAAATAATAACTATTAAGTAACAAGAAATAACAAATAAGAATTAACAAATAAAAATTAAGATATTAACAGATAAGAATTTAGTAGTCACAACTGTACTGGACGTTAAACTTCAAATTAATCAATTAAAAACCACAGTGTAACTAGGACTAAACATATCATTTTAATAATACACATAAGCCAAGCTACACGTTTTCCATAGCTACGTTACACTTAGTTATAACCAGCAACAAAAAAGTCATAAGAAGTTAAAACAGATAAGTTATAATAAATAGGTCATAACAAGTAAGTCAATGTCCCTCCAGGGCTTCCGTACTTTTATCATAGAAAGTCTAGGACTATGTGTGCTAAAGCTCCTATATAAAAGTTCGTGTTGGCTTGAGCTTTTGAACCGTAGTTTGTAAATTCTTCAAGTTTGCCACTCATATTCAAGTACATGTATTAATTTTATCACCTACAAATGCCATAATAAAAGAATTTATACCTTTTTTTCTACTGAAATTGATTTTTCCAATAAATTCAAGAGTTTAATAATGTAAAGGGATTTGTAGATATAGAATTATATATATTATTTTATTTTAAAAAAAACTAAATTATTAAGTACGTTTTCGATAAGAACAATGTTTCGAGATTTTATGGTTTGTTATAAGTGGAACAATTTTGGAATCATTTAAGAGATACATGCATCAACAATGTTATTAAAAGACAATACATGTGTATTCTGAGATAATTGTTCCCCAATTTCTTGAAAGCGCGGGGACATTGAATTCGTCTGTCCGTCTAGCTGTCCGTCTGTCAGTCACAAAAACTTTAACGTAGTAGTATCTTTATTGGCGTATGCATCACAAAGATGTAACAGACATTTTAAACATTGATCAACAGGTATTAGACAGGTGCTTTATAACAAAATTTATTTTAAAAAGAATTTAAAAAACTTATACAGGAGTATCATAAATCTTGTTTGAAGGTATATTTTCCCTCTTCCTAAAACATTCAAACACATATTTCGAGTTTTTAAAGTATAATTTCCGAGTCAGAATTAAGCAATTCAATTAATTTTATCACACGAGGTCTTGCAAAAAAATATTTTTTTAAATATCTTTTTTTCTTAACTCAGTATAAAAATTACGGATTAAAACAAAGTAGAATTCGTCTTATATTTCGTTTGACGTACAGAACATTTGTGGTCATATACTTATGTGCCGGACTCTTTGCCGGACTCTATGCATAAACAACGCGAGGATAATCTGAGTCTTCTCAATGCTTTTCTATGTTTCTCCTAATACATACAGTTGAGATACTCTGCCCGGTGCATATCCGGGTTGAAACAAATCGTGGTACATGTAACCATTGTGTCCACATAATTATTTATAGAGAATAATAGATATCCTTTTCCACATCACACTGGACACTCTTATAGAAAAGTAATTTTTTGTCGCCTGAAGAGCAGAGCGACACTTAAGGATCACTTTACCCGAGTCTGTCTGTCTGTCCGTTAGTCTGTCACACCTTATATCTTGAGAATTGTAAGAGGTATGAATTTAATATTTGCACATATGTAGCTTGGCACGATGGCTTTTGTCAAATATCAGGGTTACCTACCTCGTGATAATTTAACTTGACCTTTGACCTACTTTTCAGAATAGTTCATAGAACCGATATACAGCTCATTTTGACATATTAGAGGCAAGTCTGTTCTATTAAGTATGTGCACAGTTTGTCATATGATATTACCAGCGTGACAGGCCACTTGACCTTTGACCTCCTTTGCAAATATATTTGGAACGGTTAATTTAAAACTTGACTTTTGAGTTTTAAATATTGAGACGCAGAGTTTTGATAACCAGCATATATATCACATGTTTATGAGTTAAGGACACTGTACTTCTAAACTGTTTAATAAATTTAAATACTAAGAAAATTTCACCGGATCGGTATACCAAAATAGTAATGTTGTAGACTGACAGTTGCAGTAAAGGCAGACAGAAAAGAAATGATACATAATTATTTTTGATAATTTCAATCTCATAATTTCAATCTCATTTTAGATTTGAGGGTTGGGGAATCATAATTTTATTTCATTGTTACGTTTTACATGATATTAATTGCCATTCTATCGAAGTTTTTCTTATCCGTGGATGTTTTTTTTCTTTCCAGGCAAATTCTTGAACTATAATACGAAAGGCAAATAAATAGATCACTCTTAGATTCATTTAATTATGCTATAAAGCTGGTGAAACATGCGTTTCTTGGTAAACTCTAGTTCAAATAATGACGATGGTTCTTACCAATGCAGCAATGGAAACGTATGTGCAAAGCCACAATTACAACTGATGCAAAAAGGGTTGCTGTTGTAAGATTTTTACTTGGCTAACAGAAGAGGTGCATGTTATAATAAGTCGCAGAAAAGCAAAAAGTATAATCGCGGAATAGCAGTATAATTTGTCGCGGAAAAGCTGTGTCGAATCGCAGAAAAGTGGAACTGCGTCCTTGTTGTGTTGATGAATCATTAATTGAATTGGTTCTAGATGGAGTTGATCACGACGATCACAAATCCTTTGAACCGAAAGGAATAGAAAACAAACATGTTACTTCTAGAGTAAAAAGTAAATATAAACTGTCCAACTCCTTGTACTTGTCAGTGTGTTGAAGTTTGTTTCAAAATGGACAAGCTCAAAAGATCGATGTCTGATAAACTATCAAATCCAAGCAAGTATAGATGAGGGAGGCAAAGAGCCCCACAAGTTTTTTTGTTATAGGACAATGATAATCACATAAAAATTATATAAATTACATAAAATTTTATGTTTAAATTATCGGCTATTAAATTGTTTCCATGGCCGTAGGAACCGGGGGCACGGGAGGTCGTGCTCCCTCTCTTCCAGTAATTTTGCCGATATATAGACTACTTTAGAAAAAAAACCCATAGATACCGTAGCTATAATTACAATCAATAATTAAATTTAATTACCTTTTTTCTCTTCTTTTTTTTACTTGCCAGGGAATTTTTGGAAGTTGATAGTGCCCCCCCCCCCTCCCCAACTGAAAATATAAAGTTGTGCCCCCGAAACTGAAATTGCTTCCTACGGGCCTGGTTTCTTATTATGGATAAACAAATGGAATAGAGCAATGGTAATGGTAATTTAATGCCCAGATTTCGCGCCAACCTGCCTGTGACACGTACTACCATTTTTGACTTCATGACCTTGAAGTTTTACCGACTTTCAAAAACTTTGCTTTGGCTGCACCTAGAGACATGACTTTCATTTTTTCAATGTCCATAGTCTGTGACAAGTCCTTTCCCCATATATAATGATTTTTGACCTCATGACCTTGACCTTGAAATAAGATCTACTTTTCAAAGAATTAAGATTTATTGCAAGTTTTGCACTTAAAGAGACAGTCTAACAGAGGCTTTCATATTTTATATAGGATATCTTTTAAAAACATAAAACGTTTTTGCATGATGGACAGACAAGTCAGGGACAAAGGCGACAGTTACATATTACACCCCAATCAATAAGATCCCGAAAACGGAGGATCACAATTCTCTTTTACTTGTAATTTATATCTTCTGATGATATAAACATAATACATGTAGTTATCGTCGGTCGTCGCGATGTGTGTTAATATTTGAAAATTTTCAGCTTCTTCTCTGGAACCGCTGAACCAATTTAAACCAATTTTGGTATATAGCATCTTTGGGTGAAAGGGAACAAAATTGTGAAAATCATGACTCTTGTCCCCCTGGGGCCTGAGGGATGGGGATAAAACCACCAAAATTAATGCAATCTTTAAAAATCTTGATCTTTACTCCTGGTTATCAAGCAGCCAAACTGTTGGCATGATTGTAATAAGCATTGGATCTAATCTAATCTAATCTAATTGAGCCTATAAGCATATATATGTAATCTACCAAAATTGTGAAATTCATGGCCCCAGGGTCAGGGGTCTTGTGCTAGGGCGGGGCTATATAGATCATATAGTGAAAGTGCATTATTTCTTTGAAATTTTTTTTTTGCTTCTGGTTATTAAGCAAAGAAAGTAAGTGTTAAGTTATGATGAGCAAGGGTGCCTCTCCCAGAATTGTGAGTTTCAAGGCCCTTGGGTCAGGGGTTCTGGTGTTAGGGCGGTGCTCTACTGATTGTATAGTGTATAGTGAAAATATATCACTTCTTTGATAATCTTCTTCTCTGCTCCAGGGTATTATTAAACAAACTTAGTGTATGGTTATGATAAGCAAGACACATATTTTCCTATCTTAATTTTATTTATTTTTCAGAGTGAAGAAACCAATCCGAAGACCCCGTTAATTAAGGAGAATAAAGGGGGTGGATCTCATTATACTAGTCCCTCAATGCCAACAGCGCCATCTGCCAGGAAGTACAAAGTGCAGGATCCACCACCGGAAAAGGACTTTTGTTAGTGGAGTACTAGTATTCTGTTTCATTTCAAACATTTATAACTAGGCATCTTGATAAATAACATTTTGTTTTATTATCTAGTAACTTCCATTGATTTGTTGGCAACAGCTGATATGAAGAACATCAAGATCCCTTCGCTAAATAAGACTTTTCAGGTTTGTATCGTGTATTTAATTTTTTGATACATGTACATAAAGATAAGAGATAAATAAGTTCTTTAGATAACACAACCTTTTTTTTTCATTTAATCATCATATTTGATGAAATAGGAATGCCTCTCACTGAGACAAGTTTTATTCAATGACAAATAGTTTGATTTTATTTTAGTATTATATTTCAGGATCAAGGAAAAGTATTTGATGAAATATTCCAGCAGTTTCAGAATATGAGAGAAAGCTTGAACAACTTCAAATCACATTTTACTGCTGAGACAGATGGCATACCTGTACTGTCAAGGTGTATGCAGATACTTACACAGAGGTGTGGTAAGTATAATCCGACTACAGTACGACTGATGACATACCTGTACTGTCAAGGTGTATGCAGATACTTACACAGAGGTGTGGTAAGTATAATCCGACTACAGTACGACTGATGACATACCTGTACTGTCAAGGTGTATGCAGATACTTACACAGAGGTGTGGTAAGTATAATCCGACTACAGTACGACTGAGGGCAAACCTGTAGAATCCGGATAGGGCCGATAAGTTCATTATCGCTTCATCGCATCATTGAGGTTTGGGTCGATAGTGCGATGATGCGATGACGATGAAGTCATGATGCGATGACGATAGCGCGGTGTCGATGATGCCATGGCGCGACAATGCGATGACTATGGTGCGATGGCACGATGAAGCGATGGTGCGATAACTATGACACGAAATTTACGATGACGAAGGCACAATGACGATGAAGCGATGTTCACTATCGCTCTATCTTGCTATCGCACTATCATCATCGTCATCGCGCTATCAAACTGCAACATCGTCATTGCGGCATCGCTTCATCGTTATCGCTCCATCGCATTTTCGCGCCATCGACCCTTTAGTGCATGCAGATTCTTAGTCAGAGGTGTGGTGTAGTATAATCCGGACTACAGTACGACTGATGGCATACATGTACTGTCAAGGTGCAGGTAGATACTTACATGTAGGTTGAGACTAACATGCTAACCACTGCGCTACATAGCTCCCGATGAATGTTGGCATTTAAATCATGTTTGTGATATGACCCTTGACTAAATAGACTTCAAGTATTGCTCGGAAAGATGCAAATATTGTGTCATGAAAGTGTATTTTTAAGGTATAGTGGATCTTTGCTCTATGTTTTTGTTAACCAAAAAATGTATATTTTTTACGCAAACTTTGAGAATAAACTTTCAAATATATGGAGCGAAAACCCACTCATATTGAAAAATTGTGTTATAGTATGAGAAAATGATCCCTTTTCCCCTCCTTAGTGTGTGTATGCTATTTCATAGGCAAATAATTTCAATCTTTGTGAGATTTAAGGAATTTTTGGAGATTTCACACAAAGTATACCTCAATTTTAGATAAAATATCCAAGAAAATGTTGTTATCCTTGAGATTTAATTTTTCATCTTTATGTTTGTCGCACTACAGGCATTGCGCTCGCCTTGTTCGTCTATCTTCTTTAAACGGTAAAATCTGGGTAGGGGCAGTTAACGCTTTATAAACCGTGAAGTGGTTTATAAAAAAGCGTAAACTATTCCAACCCAGTTTATACCGTATAAATTGGGTAGCTATTGAATTAATTCCTTATAATTTGATTTTCATTCATTTAGTGAAAGATTATAAGATGATTAACCTTAAAAATGACTTTAAAATTGTGCAAAATTTAAATTTAACATCAGGTGGCTCGATACGTTTTTGACGCACGTCATTGTGACGTAGGCAACACAGTTAATATGATGTGAATTAAATGTTTTCATCCAATTAAATAGCGCCTTACAACCAGAATAAAATCAGTGGTCTTTCAATGGTAAAATTAGGTACTCTATTTGAGAAGTTCCGCACTTTTATTTTTTTAATACCCACAGTTTTTCAGTTGATTAAACGCGATCTAAAGTCTTTTAGCCTAAACACATAACAGTAATATAGCGTGATGAATTTGAAGCTTACATGCAGAGCAAAGCTGATTTGAAAAGCAAAGTTGAGTGAAAGGTTATCGTATTGAATTACACTACAGCGGGGAAGTTAAATGATATTTGAAATTTGGAAAGGCATGTAATTGTACAAGCTGTAGTTTGAATATTTTGATATTCAAAAAAATTTAAATATTTAAACCATCATGTTCATACGTTTGACTTGAACAAAAAGGATATCATATTTATACAATGTAAATATAGCAAACTCATGAAATATCATATGTATTGGATTTAAGTAGTGCTATGGAAAAGTGAATGGCTGTATATAATTATAGCACAAACGATACAATGTTTGAAATGTCAACCTCATCGTGAATTAAGTGCTCGTGTTGTAAGAATATAATTTTTCTGTTTTGATCAAAATTTGATCAAAATCAGTCACATTTGATCTTTCAAGTGGTCATGATTCGGTTTTACTGGTCTCAAATTTGTTTTTTTTATATGTAATATATATATATATATATATATATATATATATATATATATATATATATATATATATATATATATATATATATATATATATATATATATATATATGAAAGAGAGAGAGAGAGATTTGTTCATTAGAGAGAGAGAGAGAGAGAGATTGAAAGAGAGATTTGTTCATAATCTGACAACGATCGATGATTCTGCTTCAGAAATTTTTATACATGTATTTAAAGTGTGTGATTTTACAAAACTTGTAGTACACAAGAAATATTAAGACCTTAATCATTTAACAAAAAAAATCTTTATTGATAAACGTTGTGTACACAATTTATAAACTTATAAATTTATGTTGTTTACAATGTACAAGAAATAATTAGAGAAGAAAGGCAGCTCCGAATCACTTATGATAAGGGTTTCTTCAATATGCAGATGTATATTATTAATTCTACTGGCCAGAGACCAGATGAGCTTTTGCGATAGTAAGGTGTCCGTTTCCCGTCCGTCCCTCTGTCTAGCTGTATGTTTCAAAACAGCTACTCCTCCTGCAATTTTGCTACAATTTCAATATAACTTGGTACACAAGTAGACTACACTAGGATACAAAATGCTGTATGGCAGTATTTTTTATTTTGAGGAATGTTGTTGCCTTGGTAACTTAATATAGAAATTTCTGTAAAATTCTTTCAAAACGCTACTTCTCCTACAGTTTAGTCCGATTTCAAAATGACTTGATACACAAGTAGACTACACTAAGGTACATAATTCTGAATATCATTTTTTGATTTTGATGAACGATGTTGCCATGATTACTAATAATAGAAATAACTGTCAAATTCTTTCAAAATGCTGCTGCTCCTCCCACAGTATTAGTCCAGTTTCAAATAACTTGGTACATCCATGTAAATAGACTACACAAAGATACATAATTCTATACATTGGGTTTGATTTTAATGAATGGTGTTGTCATGGTTACTAAAAATAGAAATTTCTGTGAAATTCCATTAAAATGCTACTCCTCCTACAGTCCAATTGCAATTAAAATTGACTCACAAAGAGACTAAACCAAGGATCGGTATTTTATTTATTGCTGTTGCCATAGTTTCAAGTCCGAGTTCTACTTTTATTACTTAAATAAAAACCAGTAGAAAGGTAATATATAATCTAGAACAAACGAGCTACTAAAGGTTCAATATCTTAGCGATTTATTGAAGGACGAGTTTGCATTACAAATTATATACGAATATGCCCCGAAACCTCCCAAATACGAGCATTCAATTTTGAACGCGCCGTTGTAAACAAAAAATTTCTTCTGGTCAACCGCTAAACGATAAGATTTATGAGAGACAGTGGCAACTAGGTAAGATTTGTCTATTTTCACGCAAAATTAAAATTATAAATTAACAATGTAGTGCCTATGATCTAGCTCAATAAAAACCTCAATAATTTAACTAAATCATAACGCTTGGTTAGAAGTAATATTGAACACTTCCGGGAGACGCTGATTTAGATATTGCTCACTTTTAAATTAGAGACCAAAATTAAATAATTCTCAATAATTTTGATTTATGTTATGAAAGAAATTAATATAAAGCATTGGGAAAATAATTTAGCTACATAATAAAGAAGTTCTAGAGCTTATGTTGGTGAATATTGGCACGTGTTGGCCATAAAATGCACTTGAAAGCTCGTGCTTTTGTACAGCTAGCTCGTGCCAATATTCACCAATAAAAGTTCAAAAACGCTATATCTGTCTGCATCTAACACTTTCGTTTCTGGATATATTTTAATAAGCCTTTGAGCTTTTGCAATGAAATTTTAATTCCCAACTCCTTATGGCCAAAAGAAGACCCCTACTAATTTCAAGGACAAAAGTCAAGGTCATAAATTTTTACATTTTTTCTTTGTGTGTAACACTTTCATTTTGGGATGATATATTTACAATCAAATTTTTCTATATCACAGTAAGATTGATTGATTATTGTTGTTTTATGCCGAGTCCATCACAGCAAGAAGACCCGCTCTTGATTTTAAGAGGTCAAAGGTAAAGGTAAGAAATTCATACATTGCAGATAACATTTTTCAGATAACTCTAGTTCTCTTCGAGCATTTTTTCTTAATATCACAATTCCCTATGGTTTAATGAAGACCCCTACTGATTTTGAGGTCATAAGTTCAAAGGTCAGGAACAAAAATTCATACATTCTGTCAGTAACACTTTCCTTTCTGGATGATATCTTACAACCTTTTTAGCTCACCTGAGCCAAAGGCTCAAGTGAGCTTTTCTGATCACATTTTGTCCGTCGTCCGTCCGTCCGTCTGTCCGTCTGTCTGTCCGTCTAGCTGTCTGTCTGTCCGTCCGTCTGTAAACTTTTCACATTTTTGACTTCTTCTCAAGAACCATTGGGCCAATTTTGACCAAACTTGGTACAAAGCATCCTTGGGTGAAGGGAAATTTAAATTGTTAAAATGAAGGGCCAAGTCCCCTCACAAGGGGAGATAATCAAGAGAAGACAAAAATAGGGTGGGGTCATTAAAAAATCTTCTTCTCAAGAACCACAGGGCCAGTAAAGCTGAAACTTATATGGAAGCATCCTGGGGTAGTGTAGATTCTAAATTGTTCAAATCATGACCCCCGGGGGTAGGGCGGGGCCACAATGTGGAATCAATATTTTACATAGAAATATATAGGAAAAATCTTTAAAAATCTTCTTCTCAAGAACCACTGAGCCAGAAAAGCTGAAACTTATGTGGAAGCATCCTGGGGTAGTGTAGATTCTAAATTGTAAAAATCATGACCCCCGGGGGTAGGGCGGGGCCACAAGAGGGAATCCAAGTTTTACATTGAAATATATAGGAAAAATCTTTAAAAATCTTCTTCTCAAGAACCACTGAGCCAGAAAAGCTGAAACTTAAGTGGAAGCATCCTGGGATAGTGTAGATTCTAAATTGTTCAAATCATGACCCCCGGGGATAGGGCGGGGCCACAATAGGGAATCCAAGTTTTGCCTTGAAATATATAGGAAAAATCTTTAAAAATCTTCTTCTCAAGAACCACAGAGCCAGAAAAGCTGAAACTTATGTGGAAGCATCCTGGGATAGTGTAGATTCTAAATTATTCAAATCAGGACCCCCGGGGGTAGGGCAGGGCCACAATAGGGAATACAAGTTTTGCCTTGAAATATATAGGAAAAATCTTTAAAAATCTTCTTCTCAAGAACCACAGAGCCAGAAAAGCCGAAACTTACGTGGAAGCATCCTGGGGTAGTGTAGATTTTAAATTGTTCAAATCATGACCCCTGGGGGTAGGGCGGGGCCACAATAGGGAATCCAAGTTTTACATTGAAATATATAGGAAAAATCTTTAAAAATCTTCTTCTCAAGAACCACTGAGCCAGAAAAGCTGAAACTTATTTGGAAGCATCCTGGGATAGTGTAGATTCTAAATTGTTAAAATCATGACCCCCGGGGGTAGGGCAGGGCCACAATAGGGAATACAAGTTTTGCAGTGAAATATATAGGAAAAATCTTTAAAAATCTTCTTCTCAAGAACCACAGAGCCAGAAAAGCCGAAACTTATGTGGAAGCATCCTGGGGTAGTGTAGATTTTAAATTGTTCAAATCATGACCCCCGGGGGTAGGGCGGGGCCACAATAGGGAATCCAATTTTTGCCTTGAAATATATAGGAAAAATCTTTAAAAATCTTCTTCTCAAGAACCACTGAGCCAGAAAAGCTGAAACTTATGTGGAAGCATCCTGGGATAGTGTAGATTCTAAATTGTTCAAATCATGACCCCCGGGGGTAGGGCAGGGCCACAATAGGGAATCCAAGTTTTGCCTTGAAATATATAGGAAAAATCTTTAAAAATCTTCTTCTCAAGAACCACTGAGCCAGAAAAGCTGAAACTTATGTGGAAGCATCCTGGGATAGTGTAGATTCTAAATTATTCAAATCAGGACCCCCGGGGGTAGGGCAGGGCCACAATAGGGAATACAAGTTTTGCATTGAAATATATAGGAAAAATCTTTAAAAATCTTCTTCTCAAGAACCACAGAGCCAGAAAAGCCGAAACTTATGTGGAAGCATCCTGGGATAGTGTAGATTCTAAATTGTTCAAATCATGACCCCCGGGGATAGGGCGGGGCCACAATAGGGAATACAAGTTTTACATTGAAATATATAGGAAGAATCTTTAAAAATCTTCTTCTCAAGAACCACTGAGCCAAAAAAGCTGAAACTTATGTGGAAGCATCCAGGGATAGTGTAGATTCTAAATTGTTCAAATCATGACCCCGGGGGTAGGGCGGGGCCACAATAGGGAAACATTGAAATATATAGGAAAAATCTTTAAAAATCTTCTCAAGAACCACTGGACCAGAAAAACTGAAACTTATGTGGAAGCATCCTGGGGTAGTGTAGATTCTAAATTGTTAAAATCATGACCCCCGGGGGTAGGGCGGGGCCACAAAAGGTATTACAAGGGGGGAAGTCTGGTAATGAACAGCATGGCCAAAGTTACTCAGGTGAGCGATGTGGCCCATGGGCCTCTTGTTTTCCTTTGCGATAATATTTTATATCGCAACTCCTCATAGATGACCTAAAAAAAGATCCCTTTTGATTTTGAGGTCAAAAAAGATAAAGGTTAGAAATTTATACCCTGCAAATAACAGTTTCCAGATTATAACTTTAGTTTTCTTTTAGATTCTTTCAATAAATTTTAATATCACAACTCTTTATGACCTGAAACCGTCACGGTAGCTCAGTCGGTAGAGCGTTCGCTCCGTGATCAGAAGGTCGTGTGTTCGAATCACGGCCGCGACTGACCTAGATAAAAAAAAAAAGGTAGCAATTTTTCCTCTGCCAAGCACTCGGTACTTTGAAGTGAAAGTTGTGGGTCCTTTGGATGAGACCTTAAAAACCGTGTCACGGTAGGCTTTGGCACGATAAAGAACCCTCACTGCTCAATGGCCCTGAGTGCCGAGTAAAGGTCTAAATTTGAAGCCCTTCATCGGTATATGGTGACGTCTCTATATGAGTGAAAAATTTTCGAATGGGACGTAAAACAACATACAATCAATCAATCTTTATGACATGAAAAAGACCACTATTGAGTTGAAAAGGTTAAGAAATTCATACATTCTGTCAATATCTTAGCGATTTATTGAACGTTCAATAATCAATAAATAATATTCCCCGAACAAACTTTCAAAACAACATTTCAAATTCAACGATAGAGAAATATGAAGTGTAATGGCCCTGGTCTTGTGTGACTGTCTAGAACCAATCAGATAACGCGTTGTATAGAACAATTGTAACAAGTTAAATTGATGCAAAGCATCAAATCGGCCGCAAAAATATATTATTTAAGCATTTTAAAGATTTTTCGCAAAAAGGAATTCAAAGGAAAAAATATTTAAAAATCATGTATGGTACGAATTTTTATACTTTAATTTTCAGTGTGATCAAACAAAATCAAATAAATTCATGGATATAAAAATAGGACAGTGTCATTATAAAAATATTTGACTCAATACAAATGCAACAAATATCTAAAATGACTAATTATGAATGTGTGAATGCTTACAAAAAAAGGACGTACAAACTTCACGTGCTGATATCATTGGATCTTTGTCATGTGATAAAGCCGATGTTCTATCAAAATATATACGAAATTAAAAAAAAATCGTTATGTCATTTGCAAACTGTAATAATGTATTCAAAACACAATTCACTTCTTAAAAACTTTTCCAATTTATTAGTTATTTTAGGCACTGTAATTCATATCCGGAAACTCATTAAGGTCTTCCGTCTTCAGCGGAAGACCTTACTGTTATTCTTAGGTTTCTTTTCCACTATTTTTATTATTGTTTTTTTTTCCTACCGATTTTGTGCACGTGAGTTCTCGGAAACGGCTCGCCCGATTTTCATGAAACTTTCAGGTCTGATAGAGAATTAAAAAATCAAGATGTATATATTTTTTTATTTTGATGACGTCACTTCCGGTCCGGAGATTTCTGCGATTTAGTGATTTTTAGAGGTTCACTTTGTCCGCTCGTTTTCTAAAAAAGCACTTGTAATAGGAACTTGATATCTTCAGTGATGATAGAGCAATATTAATAGATTTGTACTAAGTAGATCATTTTTCCCGGAAGTGCCGCACGTTGACGCTCGGTATGCTCCGAAAAAAGTCATATTGAGAATATCAAAATTTTTAGCATTTTTTAGAGAATATCTCTTTACTTGAAAATATTTTGTTAAAACATATAGAACAAAAGTTGTGTAGAATGTTACGATCTTTCAAAAGATATCAACAATAAGGGACTGGCCCCTAAAATTAGGGAGCTAGAGGGGCCAAAAGTGTTTTCCTGATATCTCAAAAAGTATTGAGAATTTGTATAGCTTCAGAGAAGCAAAGTTGTTCAAAATGATAAGTAGCAGCTAAGGAGACCATTAAAGGTCGTCAAAATGGCGTCACTTCCGGTCACACCGAGAGTAATGGTAAATGGCTCATTTTTGCACATATGACCGTAGAAGTCTCTCGATCTCAATCTCATCTCCTTCAAATTTAGACGGAAGACTTATTTGTTGCTTTGCAACAAGCTCGTCTAGTTATACGTTCTTATTCTATATCTTATGCACGCCCATCATGGGAAGCAGTTCATGCAACAACTTTTTATAAAATAATAAATTAATGAATGTCTGATAAGAAATGAAAAACAAATTGAAACTTAATTACAACCATTAAGACAAAGTATAAGTCAAATATTTAAAACTGTATTTATGACTTTTATGTTTGTTATCAATAAAGAATTATTTCATCGAGGCAATGAAAAAATAACGCCTCAATTCCCCATGTGCACATTATAACACAACCACAAATAGATCGACCGCTCCTGCGGCCGATAATGACATATATGTAAGTAAATGGATTATATATGTGTTGATGTGATTTCTGTTAAAAAAGAACATACACTAGTAGTTTGGGTCTTCAAATTCAGATGTAGGATTTGTTTTTAAGAAAAATGATCTTCAGAGAAATAATTACAAGTCTTTTATCATCGGTAACTTTTACCCAAAGCAGGGAACACAAGTCCGTAGAGAGTAATACCGGGTATTAACATCAACAGTCTTTATTAAAACACCTGATTACTCTAGTATTGAATGACATCCAATTCCAGCTTCAATTTTACTATCAGTTAAAAGAACATTTATGCAGTTCAGGTCGGGAAGGAGGGTTAAAGGGACAAAGCCTTTGTCTGACTTGCCTTAGTGAAAGTATCATAAAAGAAGTCAGATTGAGAAAAATCTATAGGTTCAATATTATCACATCACTTCTATGTAAACTCTTTATCATTCTCACGAGAGCTAGACTACTAGTAGGTGTAATTGAAAGAATATATTCCATATACGTGTACTTACATAATGGTCCGGTTTCTGTCTTAATTGCTAATTTTTCTAAACTTTATGTTGAAGGCGGCTAAGATTTTCGCTTGCGCCAGGAAAATTATGTTCTCAAAGGTTAGCTTACATAACGTAAAAATGGCACAAATCTGTATATGGTTGTTTTCTACATAGCATTTCAATGATCTCTACTCTGGTTTATTCACTGTTAGTAAAAAAAAAAGTAATTGATATAAATCGTGCGTGTTTCTTAATTTTTTTTTTAAATTGCGCTACATTGAATAAAGCACGTTTTACGAAATTCAAGACATAATACAGTACATTTTCATTGTTAACAAATATCACGACTGTGATATAAGCTTGCTCAAACCTTCTCCCCGTTAAGTTTTTAACACGAAGCTAATCAGATTATAAGGATTTTTGTTCCTGATATTGTGTGTGTTTTTACAAGTTATAAAATAATAGGTAAACGTTAAGAGATAGCACAGTATCAAATTTATAGAAAGTTAAAACATTAAACTGGGATTGGTGAATATAATCCACCTGAGATTGAAACTTCACAAAAGTACTGGAAAATTGTGTAGCACTCTATATCTGGTAGAAAATGCTTTCTTATAAGTTTGTTGGATCTTCAATTCACAAAAATGGAATCTTTAATATACAAAAACTTTTTAATTACTTTGATTTTTTAATACTGGTTTTTTTTATGTCAATACGATGATAAGGATACTAGAGTAGTGCAGCATTGTTCTCCGAGGGCTGCAGAATCATCGTATTGGCTGAAAAAAAAACTATTAATGCTTTATTACTGTATGATTCAATGACTCTATGACACCTTACTATCTTTCTTGATTGTTTACATTTGTTGAAGTCCAAGCCAATAAACATAACATTATATTTATATGGATTTCTTGATCAATTTTTGGTCGGATGTAGTAAAAAATGTTATGTTCAGCTGGAAGTCGGATGCAGGTGAAATAACTTTTCAACATTAGTACTAATTATATTCATTGAGAAGTTTGGATCTCAGCCAATCAGAGAATTGGGAATTATTCAATCAAATGTTCAAGGAGCAGTCGAAAGAAATTTATACATGTGTATATTTTTTTCAAAATAGAAAAAAACTATCAGAAATTATTATATCTTACATAGAGATAACTAAATTAATCATGGCCTCCCCCCCCCCCCCCAATAATTTTGCCGATATACAGTTTACTATAGAGAACATAGCTACTATATGCTTGTGTCCCTCAATTAAAACGTTTGATGACCTTTTTTTTTTTGCTTTTCAAGGAATTTTTGGTAGTTGATAGTGCCCCCTCAACTGAAAATGTATAGATGTGCCCCCCCCCCCCCCCAACTGAAATTGCTTCCTACGGGCCACGGGCCTGAATTACTCTTTGCTGTGCACATGTTTGTTACTGAATGTAACACAACCCTTTGTTCAGGTCTTTGCCCTAACCTGTCCTTTCGGTAATAATATAATGCCATTATATTTACATTCTTCTTGTATTTTGCTTATAAAGTGTGTGGAAAGCTATAGCATTCAAAACACCATAACACGGACGGGGGTCTAAGATTAAAGTATGCGTTTTATTTTGACGTCACAAATGTTGAACGCCGTGGAAGTGCAATGTCATAAGCGAAAATCAAAATTCACGCTCACAGAAGCTGTTGTAATGACTCTTCCATTAATTATAACTTACCTGAGGGATAATACATGGGTTCTGAAATATAAATCACATATATGCAGACAAGGAGATAAGTTTAAAAATGTAAATATATTAATATAAGCATTGAATCATTATTATTATTATTATTTTTTTTTAAAAAGAACTAGTCCCATAACTGCAAATACATTTTCATAAAGCGCTAACTCGCGTTACTCAATTTGTTTGAACACACCTTTGCAGTTTTGAGACTACATCTTTTAAAAAATAATTCAATGAATAAATAATGCAATTGGACGTAATATATCTTTAGAAAACATTCAAAATTGCTATATAGGGTCCAATCTGGGCATAAAATGGTTAAATGGCAGATTTATATTAGATGAAGTCACTGCCTTCCAAAGTGAATTAAACGCAAAAGGAGAAATAGCCTATGAGCACATATCTTGGCAAAACATTAAAAGTCTCGACTAAAAAAAGATTTTCTGGCAACTTTTGCTGTCTTTATGTAAGCATTCTTTTCCTTACCTCAAATAAACAATTTACTTCCAATGATAAATTGTGTGTGAAGTTGTTATTGTCTGTCTGACTACATACCCATAGATTTTGTTTCCTTCTACATCCTCAACTTCTTTAGAACTACAGCACTAACTCCACTTGTTTCTTCAATTCAGTGGGGCTAAAGAAGGAATTTTTATATGTGATGACAGAAAACAATACGTTCTTTCTCGTTTATATACTGTATACAGGGTTAATTTCGCCCTTTCACACTTGCAGACAATTTTGCCCCGTTTTAAATTCGCCCAGTTACAGTTCTGTATAAGAAATTATCCTTTGTTTTTTGAATTCGCCTCGTTTTAAATTCGCCCACCTGTGATTAGGGCGAAAGGGACGAAAATAAAACGGGGGCGAAAAGTTTCCTGTATACAGTATATATAGAGAAATCAGAGTCCGAGTTGTCAGTATAAATTGTAGTTGCAGACCAGGTTTATTGTATGTTGCCGATGTCTTTGCAGGAAATTGTAAGTTAACGGTGGAGAGGCGGAAGTATAGCGTTGTGATTGTCTACGAGAACCAGGATGTAATGCGCAATAGTACAACTAATCCACAACAGGTCCTGGACTGTTTACAGCTTTTTAATTCATTCAACAAAAATATTCAAAAAATTTTAGAAAGGGCACCGGAAGTAGAAAATTCTGCCAAAATTTTACTGGACGACGAAGATAACATGCGGAAAGAAGTGTCAAAAGCCGATCTTCCGGGTACAGAGGGACCGGAAGCTATGAAGATGTGTAATGAAAACATTCACAAACTGAGAAAAATGAACAGTCATTTGAAAACCATAAAAAGTCACACAGAACGAACTATGAAGGAGGTGATAGAGGCCTCCAAAGCTTTATTCAATGACACGAATCCATAGCGTTAAAGTATATCAATAGTTATCGTATACATTATTATGGTCATATTTTTTTAAGTTGTGTTATCGAATATATCAAAATATTTTTTTTATATTTTTATTTTGTATATATTGTTTTTTTTTTTCTGAACCTGTTTTCTCTAATACTTCTAAAGCTATTGAAAAGTTTCGATGGTGGATCCGGAATATTGTGTTGGGGGGAAAAGGGAGTGATTACAATACTTCATTCGCCCTCTTTTGGAGATTCAGTGCTTAGTTACAAGGTGATCCCTGAAAGCTTGTAGGTATTTGTAATTTTTTTAAAAAAGGCTTCTTTTTCTTGATAATGACATCTGATATGTATGAAATAAGGACCTGAACTGGCCGAACAGGAAGCTAGAGAAGCATGAGGTTTGCTTTGCTTAAAGTCATATATGGCGATCTTTTTAGAAGTTCAGACTAACTAAAATTAAAAAGATCTTTCTATTTGTTTTATTACTTTATATAAAGATAGGATTTTCCTGTAAATTACACAATTTAAATCAATCACGTTTTAAAGATATTAGAAATTTAAAACAATAATCGATTTATTTACCGACTCCGCATTTAAATAACAGACAGAGTTTTAAGTCAATTTAACTATGGATACATGAGATTATTCAAGTTCAAAATCGATGGAAATTTAATTTGAACAAAAATAACATATATCATGTTTATCTACACTCAATTTCGAATTTTTTATTTATTTTTTTTTTTAGCTCAGATACGCCATATGTAGCTTTATCTTTTATTTTAAAATGATAAGAAAAATTAAGGGAAAAAACTGGTGTGAAATGTATTAGTACATGTATACATGTACATTTATGTCATATTTGGCTGTTTTTCTTTTCCAAGGCAATGAAAAGAAGATTGCTAAATAAATTTATTTTTAATGGGAATTCCGGTGACTAAATCTCGGACACTACATTTATTGTGTTTTGAAAAGAAAATATATGTGAATATATGCCTTTCTTTATTTCGCGTATTTATTTGAAGGGGAAGTGTGAAAATTGTTTAATATATTTGATACAGATGCTTATAGATAGTATTTGATAGACGCAATATTAGTAATTTCCTGTTGGTCGCCATACTGGAGGCCAACAAACCCAGATTCTTTCATTATTCAACCAATTTAAACGTACTGGGCAATGAGGTGAATATGTCACAGTTTGTCTTTCGAATATATGTTCAAAGAAGCTTCCTGTAATTCATACTCTTAGTATTTTAAAGATTTATGCCCTTATATATGCCATACATGTTTAAAATTGGTTGCTCAAAGAGGAAAATTTACTAGTTTGACTTCCAAGATGGCGGCCAAGGGAATAAACTCGAAGGGAAAATACGTCGTACGAAAACTATTCCCTTATCAAGCAGCACAATCGATAGTTATCTACAGCATGGCAGATTGAATGTCAGAACTTCTTGAAGAAACGCGATTAACCTTCAACAATTAATACCATGTTTCGTTTAATCTTGTAGAGTGGACTTGCCACTATAGCTACAATGTAATTCATACATTCATTATATTTTCTCTTTCATTTGAACTATAGGATCAAGTGAGCTTTTCTAACCAAAGTTTGAGCTGTGAGATTCTGCCTGTCCGTCTGTACGGTTGAAAAATATTTTGCATTTCTATCTCCTTCTTCAAAAATCCCGATCCAATTTCAACCAATCAGCCAAAAAAAAAATTTAAAAAAAAAACAAAACAAAACAAACAAACAAATAAACAAAGCAAAACAAAACGAAAAGACAATCAAACAAAAAAAATACATCCTCATGTGAAGGATATTTTTTTTAAAAAGACCAATAATTATTCTATAATTCTCAAACTCTTGTTTAAGTTGAGTTCAACTTAAGTGTGTTATGACCTACGGATTTGTCTTGTTTGGGATCAGTTCAACTTAAGTGTGTTATGACCTACAGATTTGTCTTGTTTGGGATCAGTTCAACTTAAGTGTGTTATGACCTACAGATTTGTCTTGTTTGGGATCAGTTCAACTTAAGTGTGTTATGACCTACAGATTTGTCTCGTTTGGGATCAGTTCAACTTAAGTGTGTTATGACCTACAGATTTGTCTTGTTTGGAATGAGTTCAACTTAAGTGTGTTATGACCATGGACCTGCAAATTTTTCTTGTTTGGAATGAGTCCAACTTAAGTGTATTATGACCTACAGATTTGTCTTGTTTGGAATGAGTTCAACTTAAGTGTGTTATGACCTACAGATTTGTCTTGTTTGGAATGAGTTCAACTTAAGTGTGTTATGACCTACAGATTTGTCTTGTTTGGAATGAGTTCAACTTAAGTGTGTTATGACCATGACCTACAATTTTTTCTTGTTTGGAATGAGTCCAACTTAAGTGTGTTATGACCTACAGATTTGTCTTGTTTGGAATGAGTTCAATTTAAGTGTGTTATGACCATGACCTACAGATTTTTAGCTCACCTCGACGAAGTCTTGCTTCGGATGCTGGATCTAACCTACATTTTTCAGTTGAGTGAGAAGGTTAAAGTTTTTGGAGCAGGTCCATTCCCAAGTAACTATAAGCCCTACCTTGACCAAACTTGCATGGATGATGCATCTAGGGATGGACACTACCACACTTGCTTCGGATGCTGGATCTGACCTACATTTTCCAGATGAGTGACCAGGTTAAAGTTTTTGGAGCAGGTCCATTCCCAAGTAACTATAAGCCCTACCTTGACCAAATTTGCATGGATTATGCATCTAGGGATGGACACTACCACACTTGCTTCGGATGCTGGATCTGACCTACATTTTCCAGATGAGTGACCAGGTTAAAGTTTTTGGAGCAGGTCCATTCTCAAGTAACTATAAGCCCTACCTTGACCAAACTTGCATGGATGATGCATATAGGGATGGACACTACTACACTTGCTTCGGATGCTGGATCTGACCTACATTTTCCAGATGAGTGACCCGGTTAAAGTATTCGGAGCAGGTCCATTCCCAAGTAACTATTAGCTCTACCTTGAACAAATTTGCAGGATGAAGCATCTATGGATGAACACTACCACACTTGCTTCGGATGCTGGATCTGACCTAGATATTCCAGATGAGTGACCAGGTTAAAGTTTTTGGAGCAGGTCCATTCCCAAGTAACTATAAGCCTTACCTTGACCAAACTTGCATGGATGATGCATCTTGGGATGTACGCTATCCAACCTGCTTCGGATGCTGGATTTGACCTAGATTTTCCACATGGATGAATTTTAGGCATATTTAAACCAAATAAGCATGGATGATGTAGCTAGGGATGGTCACTTCCAGACTTGCTTTGGATTCTGAATCTGACCTACATTTTCCAGATGAGTGACCATGATAATTTTTTTTGGAGTAGCTATATAACATTATGGCCTGTTATGATTAAACTTGCATAGATGGTGCATCTAATGATGAAAACTTCCAGACTTACTTTGGATTTTGAAACTTACCAACATTTTCTTGATTAGTAAACAGGATAAACGTTTTTTGAACAGGTCTATTTCCAAGTAACTATAAGTCCTACTTAAACCAAACTTGCATAGATATTGATCTTGAGATGTACACTAACTAAAAAAAGAATATGCTGTGAAATTTGCCTTACTTAAAGATAACATTCGTTGAGGTGAGCTTCGTAATCTTTGATTACCTATGTTTCCTGTTTGAAACGGGTTCAACTTAAGTGTGTTATGACGATGACCTATAGATCTTCTTGTTTGGAACGGGTTCAACTTAAGTGTGTTATAACCATGACCTACAGATGGGTCTTGATTTTGAATTAGGGACATATCTCAGAGATTTAGGTCAACAGAAATTTATTTAATTGAAATGCTATCACTCTCAATCCCTTGATTGGAATATTTTGTTGTTGTTTTTAACTTATGTTAAAATCTTGACGCGAGCCCATTTCAGAAGTCTGAGAGAGTAACGAACGACAACTCTGGAAGGGAGATTGGCAAATATTTTTATTTAGAAAGAAGAAAATTTAGTATAGTCTTGAAGCACGCGCATAAAAGACACTTATTACTTATATAAACATGTTTACCTCTCATTTACACTACCTGTGGATCAAATAGAATATCATATAGGTTTTTATACTTCAAAGAAACTACAATTTAATCTTTGTTTTTAGCTCACCTGAGTCGAAGGCTCAAGTGAGTTTTCTGATCATATTTTGTCCGGCGTTTGTCCATCTGTCTGTAATAGTTTATGATCTATGCTATTCTATTGGTCTTACTATTCCTGGATATTTTTTTTCCTTTTCAAACAAATGCATGAACTATAATTTAACACTAGTATGGAAATAAATAGCTGACCTCTCTTCGATTTTATGATGCTATAGCAGGGGATGCATGTTTTCCTTGGAACATTCTACATGTAGTTTCAATTGGTTTTTTATTCACTTTTTAAAATTTTTATATTAGATAGTGAAAATTATAAGGACATTGAGATTACGTATACGTCATCAAGCTCATGAAAGTGAAAATGACACTTGTGATGAATGGTCCTCTGGATTATAACCTGACAGAATTAAACCGTCTCTGACGTGTTGTACGGCATTAAGCCAGTTATTGTGTCCAAAGTAGGAGAGTGTTACATGACGGTGAGTGTCTGATGGTGACAAAATGGCAGGGAAATCCTGATACTCTGAAACAGTAAGCAGTGAATCCTGCTGTCAGGAAGCAGTAAATAAACATTTAAAACTTTGTCTTCCCACTTGTATCGAGTTGTGTGTTTAACCAGCACGTGTCTCCCATTTCATTCACTAAACGTGATCTAAAGATCACCCGTTTCTGATCAGCAGAAAACGATTTTAAAATTACCAAAATCTATACAGTAGAGCATTCGCACACAAAGAATCTGGGGGAATAAGACGAGCCATGTGCCCATGCCCATTTTTCCGCTATGCAAGAACATTTATTGGAAAAAATATCTCAATTGTTCGAATTTACTTAAGCATTTTAATGTTTACAGTAGTTCTCAAAATGATATTTATATTCTAAACAAGCTAAACAGTTCACTTTCATTTACTGTCACAAATGTCTAACATGGGTAGGGACTTCTATTAATT